TTCGCCTTTAGTGGTCTACCTCTCCTTTTGGGAACCTTCACTTCAGCGTCGGACTTTGCCTTTGGTGGTCTACCTCTCTTCTTAGGAACCTTAACTTCAGCATCAACCTTTGCCTTTGGTGGTCTACCTCTAGGACGCTTAATCTTAGGATTCCTTTCATTTTCAATCCTCTTGATTTCCTCGTTTACTTGAGGATCATCCGTGTGCCATCTGCCTCCCATTGTTGGTGGTAACCCCTGAACGCCTCTTGATAGTAAACTTTGGTATGCCTCCTCTACAAGTAGGGCCTTTTGCCTGTCAGAGTACTTCCACGTTGGCATAATTCCTCTTCTTCCCTTATAGTTCAAAGGAATACGTCTAGGCTTCTTTACCTCCATATCACGGTCAACTTCGTCTACGAATTGTCTTTCTCCTTCAAAGGGATCTTTGCCCTTATCATCAGGTGCAATCCTGTAGTTTTTGTCAGCCATGATGTTGTCTACTCTTTCATCGATCTCGTTGTCACTATCTATGATACTGTTGAGAGCCATAAGCTGTTCTACGCTGAATTCGTTTATATCAAAATAACTCGCCATGTTTTTCTGTCAATTCCTCTATACTATATATGTAAAAATAAATTCGGGTATTTAATTAATAATTTATTTTGAATTTATTTTTGATTTAATTTTATTATTTTAAACATTTATTTTTATTAATTAATATTTAATTTTAATTAAACATTTATTTTTATTATTTTAATTAATCATTTATTTTTATTATTTTAATTAATCATTTAATTTTGTTTTCCAGTTATTATAATATTTACAATTCTCAGGTTTCCATCCAAGCTCAACAAAAACTTTCCCGTACAACCTATCCTCAAGGATGTCCACAATCCTTTGAGTCTTAATGTCCTCAGGAGGGTTCTTCAGGGAAATACCATTCATGCTGGCTATCCTCAGTAGGTAAAACTTGTATCTAACTATGTTGCGCCCCCTTTGCAGTCTAAGTCTTTGTATACATCTTACTATACTTCTAAACTGCTCCCTTATGATGTCCCTATCCCTAGAAGCAACATGTTCGAACAAGTGTCTCTCAAACCAACGGACTCTATTGTGACAAGACTTCTTTTTCAGGTAGTCGTCCTTGTTGTAGTTGTAACTAACGTAGTACGAGAAGTTATTCATATCACTAGTACCACACTGTGTGCATGTATCTGCCCCATCTATCATTACAATAGACTTACTCCCACATTCGCTACATATTGGATCATATGTGTGTTTTCTCTTTATTCTTCCCTCCACGTACTTTCTTACTGATACCTCTAGCTCTTCTATGGTGTTTAGTTTCCTGCCTACTAGTACTACCTCCTCTGGTGTCACTGTTTGAAGCCAGTCCATTTACCTATACTATTAGTGTGAAAATTTTCTGCTGATTTTTGGGGTGTATTTAAACGTCTTCTTATTATTCTTAGTTCCACATACTTTTTAACTGCAGCTTCTAACTCTTCTATTGTGTCTACCCTTTTTCCCAGGGCTACCACTTCCTCAGGTGTTACCATTTGAAGCCAATCCATTCTTCTATACTATTGGTGTGAAAATTTTTATGGCATTTTCTATAGGATTAAATAAGCTGCCCCTCCAACCACCCCACCTGTAATTAAACCAAAGATTGCCATATATTCTTCCATTTCGGAGCTAGGTTTGTAGTGATTACTTAATTGCGGCTTCCTTGGCATAGACTTACGTGTTAACTCATTGATTCTTCTAACAAGTTCTAATGACTGGTTCGTTGACTTAATATACCTATTTGCATCAGCTAGTTCTGACTTCAGTTGGGCAATTCTATTTCTCCTATCAGTGACCTCTTCAAGGTACTTCTCTCTTTCAGCTGTTAGGTTCTCCATTGCTTTGTTATGTCTATGAGCTTCCTCAGCATATCCATTCTTGTCATACATCTTAAATAAGTATCCTGCTCCCGCAAATGCAAATGCATTAAAGAGTCCTCCTGCTACTGCTCCCGCCATTGTATAGTTTTACCTAGGTTTTGAATGGATCATCTGGTAGATACTTCTTTTCTTTCAAGTAAGAGACCAGTAGAGATGAAAGACTAACTGAAATAGCTAACTTCGCCATTCCTTTTACATTCTCTGGGGTACCTAATGGTTCTTTCAGTAGTTTCTTTGATGCCATTGATATACCAACTGCTCCTGCTGTAAGTAACACTGCATCGTACACTTCCCTAGTCATCTTTGATTCTTTACTCATCTTGTTATAATATATGGTATGTTTAATGTATCATTCAAGTGAATCTAACTTGGACTCATCAGCTCTCTTAGTTACTTTTACAGTTTTAGGGATGTACTCAGGTTCTAGTTCCTTAGTTTCCCTCTGATGTGTTTTATATGCTAGCACAAGAGATATCAATGCAATGGCCACTCCTATGTAGGTAATCATACAGTCATTACTAGATGACTCGTTAGGTTCAGCCAGTTTCTTTTTCCTCTCCTTTGCTATTTTACTGATTGCAGCTAGTCGTTTTCCTGCAGCTACTCTTTTTGGGTCCTTCTTCTTTTCACTTGTTACTGGTACTTGAATTTGCTCAGGTTTATCTTCCATTCTACTTGTAAGATACCTTAGGTTTAACTTGGTTTCATCTTATGAGATATCTTGAATTCTACTTGTGAGATAACTTGAATTTACTTGCAAGATAACTCAAATCTACTGGTAAGATAACTTAAATCTACTGGTGAGATAACTGGTGAGATGTCTCAAATATACTTGCAAGATGTCTCAAATCTACTTGACAGTATACTAGTACTTGTGTGATGTGAACTTTTGTTTGTACAGCTTTATATCGCTAACTACATTTTTCACCCTTACTGTTTTAACTTTTTTCTTAAGTGAGAAGTACTCGTTAATTTTGATACAAATTTGAATCAAGTCGTCGGATATCACTGTCATGTACCCTATTCCCCTCAGTTCCTTGAGCCATAGGACTTGCTTCTCACTTGTAGTCCCAGTGCCCTTAGGAGACTTAAGTTCAATTGCGAATCCTGTGTACTCCCCCATAGGGTTCTCTATAATAAGATCTGGCTGACCACCTTTATAGCCCTTCTTCCAAGCATCACATCTCTTTGACACTGTATCCTGGTACTCGCCAAGACCTGGTATTATTACAGCCTCAGGGTGGTTATTCCTAATGTAACTCACAACTGTATGATGAAGGTCTGTTTCATTTATGAGGATCATTTGGTTATATCTGAGTGACCTTCTATCAGGTAATTCATATGAGCCTGTTTTTCGGATAGATGGAAGGACTTCGTTGAATACCCAGCTATGAAAGGCCTCTGCTATTGGAAGCCTTGAGCCAAATATTAGTTGGTACAAACCAGGTTCTCTCAGGAAAACACAGTTAGGTTGACTGCTAAAAGTGGGACCCATGAGGGGTCCTACTTTTAACTCCCCAAGGGTTACCTTATTTTGCTTCCATACGTGGGTTTGAACAGCTTTTTTCGTGTTTGAGTACCCTAAGGATTCCGCCACATCTTTTGCATAAAACAGTATCTCCTCACCACTCTTAATGGTTCTCACACTAACATTCAACTTTTGGTTCCTAAATAGTTTCTCCATCTTCCCTATACTACCGGGTGTCCCAAAAAAAAGTACTCCGGTTTGATTTATAATAACTTCTAAACAAGTACAGCTATCAAACAGAAATAAGTTGCATTAAATAGAGGAAGGACTAACTTAGATTTTGATAGATTACAGTTGTATTTTACTTAAACATTCACTGAGATATTATTGTTCAAATTTGGGAGCATATTTTGGGATGTGTCTAAAATCAGCGAAAATCGGCATATCAAATATTAACTCCAGTGTTTGTTTGTTTAATGACATATCAGGCTAACTTGTATTTCAGTAAATTGTCGTTAGGGTTTGTATGGGATATGGCGCAGATTTAGACATTTTAACATGCATGTAAGTCTTAGCTGATTGTTTCCTGAAATATTGAACGTTCAAAATTATGCAAGTATTTAATAGGTCTTTACAAACTAAAAGGTACATTAAAAACCATATATGCAAGGCAGGCGCTTAAATTTTTGTTAAATAGCCTAATTTTTTAATGTTTTTCATGGGTTCAAAACAGGGTTGATTATTTCTCGGTTAGAGCAGGATTTCTTTAATGAAGCAAATAATATTGCTTTTTGCAAATACACAGTATCAACGCTACTATTTTGTTACGTTTTGTTCCAAAAATGTTGGATGTCTCTGGGGAGTTGCTTGTTATGTCTTATGAAGTTGTATGGTTAGATTGTGTTTCATTCTCAGTTTATTTTGAACTTAATAAGATTAAGAAAAAGCAAAAGAGTTTGAGTGTTCTTAACAAGATTTCAGAACTTTGCAGAAGTTAGAAGAGCTTCACAATTCCATTGTAACAGCATGCCCTAATTCAGAACTACGAACGATATCCATGACGATCCTTAATTCGTGATGCAGTGGTCTCATGAAATAAGGAAACGTATTCGTCTAAGGAACACATGCGGATTTCGGACGAATAAATCTTGCTTGTATTTTGTAGATAATAATACTTTGTTTCATAATATACAATTTGTCAAGTGTCATTCATTTAATGGTAAAAGTGCATGTTTCAATCAGGCAAATTTTGATTAATATTTGATACGCCGTTTTTTGCATATTTCAGACACATCCAAAAATATGCTCCCGATTTTGAACATTAATATCTCCGTGAATTTTTAAGTGAAATACAACTGTAATATACCAAAATCTAAGTTAGACTTTCCTCTATTTGATGCAAATTATTTCTCTTTAAAAACTTTGCTTGTTTAGAAGTTATTATGAATCAAACCGGAGTACTTTTTTTTGGGACACCCGGTATATATGTAAAAATTTTTTAGGCTATTTTATCTGTCAATTTTTGGAGCAGCATTCCCCTAGCCCAAACCCAGCTGCTTCCCACTGTCGTATACTTCCTATTACAAAAAATTATTTTTCATTTAGATTCTTGTATATCTTTACAACTGTTTTTATTGTGTCAATTTTAAAAGCTTCAAATTCGTATTGTAGTGGACCTACTATTTTATTCTTGAGGGCATTATGATCGCTCTCCAGTGAATCCAGAGTTGCCTGAATCTTATCCAGCTGTTCCTTGTTCCTGTCAGTTTTCTCAATCAACTCGTCAATAATTGACCCGAATTCTGTTCCGTCCCAGTCGTAGTTCAACATTCTTCTGTATGTAATATCATATGTTTAGCTTCCTCTGACACTTCCTCAGGCTCCTCCTTCTTATTCCACTTATGGGCAACTACATGTTTAGCTGTTGTACAGCCGCCAGATATAAGCCCTATGAATGGGATGTTGGGGGATATCGTTCTGGTTAGATATGCTACGTCATCCTTCAGAAGCTTGTCACTAAGTAGTTCCTCTGACAGTTTCTCTGAAGATTCCACTGCACCAAAACTTCCTAATACAGAAGCAAACTTTGAAATAATAAGCGTTGATAAGAAGTCACTTGCACATGACATCCTCTGACTTTCGTACTCATGGTACAGTCTATCTACGACATCCTTGTTAGACTTTCTTATAAAACTTGCGGACTTCTCTATTATACCGTCCCTCGATAGCTCTATAAGTTTGTCCCTTTTGCTTTCAGTTTGCGACTTATCTGCGGTGGACTTAGTTTTTCTTACTTTCTTCGCGGCACCTTTGCGGCCTCCTCTACTTCTCTTACAGCCTCAAATATTTCTTCATCAGATTCAGTTCCCATCATCTATATTTTACGCGGTGTTTAGTTTAACAGTGTATGTGTAAGGGTGAATAAGTAGTACGTCCAGTGCGGTGAACTTCTCATCTTTTAATATCCTCGTAATCTCTGTAATTGTCTCCTGGGGAACACCACTTAGGTAATCATCTGTTATGACCTTCATATCCCTGCGACTAGGGTTGTAGAATGTAACTAGCCTGGAAATGTTCTCCCTAAATGGTTTTGCTACTGATGACAATTGTTGGGTAATTACAATGACAGATATGTTGTAATGTCTTGCAGAGAATGCTAAGCGCACCAGTTCTGAGACTCTTTTCTTTACATCTTGACTTGCCGCATAATCGTCCACTATAATGAGAGTCTGAGTACCGCGGAATATGGTGGACACTGCCTTGAGAACAAGATCGATCATTTCTTGTGAGTATGGAATTTGTATAACTCCGTGATCACTAATATGAGTCCAATTAATGTAAGTCATATTCCACTCTATGGTTGGACATATAATGACAATGTAATCGAATACTCTATTGTACTCTGTTTCTAGCATATTTAGTAGGAACTGAGTTTTTCCACTTCCAGTCATTCCTACTATGAGCATGTTGAATGGTTGCATCTCTATGCTTTACCGTTATTTATTCTTTACCGTATTGAATACTTGATAGATCTCTATTTGCGAAGTTAAGGAGAGCATCTGATACAACAAAAATGTTGCACTGAACGTCAGCTGTTGTGGCTCTTTTTTGATTTCCAGGAGTACTCCCGACTGTGTGTTAACAATCTTCTTACCTCCACCAGTGGTATCATCTTGTGTTGACCTAAGATCGATTACTAGAGCAAAACCATTGGTGAAAAACTTGCTGATGGACATAAATTCGTCAGCCATTGATTTCTCACACATAGGGCAGAAGAATCTTTTTGCCTCTTCGAAGAACCTATTTTTATGAAGTCCCTGGGAGAAAACTGCATTAGGCACACCTTCAATGGTCAGGTTCACTTTATCAATGTTTGGGTAAATATACTCTTCAGAATCAGTTCTCACTCTGTTGGTAAATAGAAGGACAATTGCTGACATGCTCTTTCTGGGGATATTAATGTTCTCGTTAACAATAGTAAGATCCTTGTCCCAGTTACTTGTACGCATAAGTGTAACATGTTTGTAGGACAGTGAGCGGCCTGTTGAATACATCCTTGATACTTCACTTGCAAGGGTGTCATTCTCAATGGTCTCGTATTCTAACTCAAGATTATCAAGTTTAAAATTACCCTTAGCTTTACCTCCTTGGGCAGTCATAATCTCATCTGATTGCAGGAGTGTGAGGATGTACATAGGATTGTTATTCATGGAGAACGGTGTGTAGAGTCCATGGTCTGCAATTATTTTATCAATTGGTTTCCTCAGCTTAGAACCGTACACACTGTGGAGAAGTGCATCTGCTACTTTATTGGCATCACCTACCTTTACACCTGAGTCATCACCTGATATTAACTTCCTAAGATTCTCACTTGCAAGACCCTGTTCTGTCATCTTCTTCCTGCCACCTAGTGTTAGCCATAGATCTTTGTATACTTCATACAAACTCTCTCCTGAACAGTCATAGGCTGTTTCACCTGCTACTTTAATCTGAAGACGTTTAGCTATCAACTTAGACAGGTTGTTATTAAAGCGGCTTTTTGTATTGGAATTTTTGAAGTCAAATAATAGTGCAAGTGATCATGGGGCTAAACAAGAGTCAGGCTTTAGTTTGGGGATGTTAATGTACAGCTCTTCACCTGGGCTAATGGTTGTTGGATTAAATGTTACAACACTTCTAGTTATGGGACCCTTTACGGATGTCATACGGCTCCTCCTGAAGCCAGGCTGGAGTTCTCTTTCTGTGGTATTCATACTTGTATACAATATGTAATGTTTAGTTGTATTTGTATAGTAAAACTACTGCTGCACAAACAATGATTATCCATATATTATCCGCTGCTAACTCTACTCCATCAGCTATCTTCTGGAATACAGGTGGTAGTTCTATTTGGTGGTTTACCAACTCACTGATCCGCTTATCGAGCTTTTCTGTTGTGTCACCTACTTTCCACAATATGTTTCTAGTTGATGCTACCAGTCCTATGATTACAGCTGATGAGGAAATTAGGACAGCTGATAAGATGCCTGCATTCTCCCTTGCCCATAACCTGAGCCTCTGCAGTCTCCTACGATCATCCCGTTTAATGAGATCCCTCTTTTTCACTTTATCTCTTAAGTTGAGAAGTTTATTTAAGTTTGACTCTCTTTGGTAATCATTTGATAGCATTCTGACGTATCTCAGTTCTTCCGACTTTTCTTTGAAACTATCTTCGTCCAAATTCGATAGTATTATTTCATTTAACAGTCTGTCTCCCCTATCCATTAGATCATCGTATGACAGATTAGATAGGTCAGGGAATTTCTCAGCTAATTGCTCTCTCGTAAGGTCCTTGCTCAATATTTTTCTCCTCCTCAGTTCCTGTACGTAATTAATTTCCTCGTTAATATCCTGGGTCTCCTCAGTAGTTTCGCTTTCCCTAAGATCCTTGTCAAGGTACGGTAATTCGCTATCTAAAGTTTCTATATCCATTTCTTCATAGTTTGGATACTTTTCCTTCAACTCCTCCATTTTCTGGTCATCGTATTCCTCTTGGTGTTCCTCCATAGCTAATTTACTTTGTGTAATAGTTGTATACCATTAAGGCTGCAGCTATAGCTAGTACCCACAAGTGTGACGCTAACCAGGCAATTCCTTTGGCTCCCCACGACAGCGCCGTTGCAATGGTGTTCAGGATTGGAACTAGAATTGGTCCTGCTTTCTTTGCTAAATTTGCTAATGCTTTTGCTACTTTACCAGTGGCCTTTGCTGTCTTCACAATGGCTCCCCTAGCATGGATTAATAAGGCTGTAATTAAACTAGCTGTTGATACTGCTATCCCTACAAGTCCCACCTTTTCCTCCCCTAACCATTTCACAAATCTGCATAATCTAGAAATATCTTCCAACTGTGCCTCTCTTGCTTCCTCTACTGTTCTCTGCTCTAGTGTCCTATCCCTAGCTTCCTTCAAACTGTCAATTCTTTCTATAAGAGTATTATACTCAGTTGTACCTTCCGCAGAGGTGGCGCGTTCCACGGTTTCACCAATAGCTTCATTAAAGTAGTCAGCCTGAACTTGTAACGCTCCACTGGGACCTGTTCTGCCTTCTATGCTTGATCCATCAGGTGGGTGGTACTAAGAACACCTCTCAGTTCATTGTTTTCTTGCATTGTTAGCCCTGGAGGATCTCCTAGTTTTGCACTTATGTCTATTAACTCAATGTTCTCACGGTCAGCGAATTCCTCACTACTTTCATCGAATTGCGGCTCTTCTTTAGTATCCTCGTAAATTGATTCATCACTTCCAATTATATTGTCAGGATTCGTAGGTACCTCTTTTATTTTCTTTAGAAGGTTCTTATATTCTCTCAGAGCAGGTGAGTCCTTTGAGTACACTAGATTCTTGGTCTTACCACGTTTCATTATTTGTGTCCCACTTTTATCAATACCTTGTTCACTTCTAAATACCAACACCTCTGTGCCATCCTTAAGTGTTCTTACAGATGATCGTTTGATGAGTTCCCTGACATATTTATTCTTAGGGTCTAGTATTAGTCCCTCCTTACCCTTGATAACTCTTGTGACAGCTTGAACACGCTCCACTTGGTTTTCAAAGTCTCTCTTTTTATTTACTGTTGAAATCTTATTTAGTTTCTCCAGGCGGGCTTCTATTTCGTCCCAGTCAGCATCAAATGATTCGTTGAATGCATCTAGCACATCTGGAAGTACATTGTTTGGGTCTTCCACAAAGTTGACTTCTGGGACGGTTGTACTTCCTGATGGACCTGAAATGTTCACTGTACCATCATTACCTTCGGTGAAAGTTGTTTCTGCTATTGCACGTCTCTCCATGAGATTCTTTACATAGTCCAGTTCACTTTTAAGATCAGTTATTACTATAGGGTCATCACCATACATAGCCTCTCCCTTCACCTTTGTATCTAACCTACTAAAAGCTGTCGTTAGGTCATCATAATTAAGGTCGTCATATTGAGGATAACTTTTTTCTGTCTCCTCCAACTCAATATCATCGTAGTCCTCCATAATACTTTAACCTATGTTAGGGACTTGATGTCTCCAGCTGGTATCCAACTGTTAAATTTGTCATCATAACCTAACCACTTAACTAGGGCCATCTTTTTACCCTTCAATGTTCTTCTCCTTAGTACTTTATCTATTCTGAAATCAGGTTCTCTTCCTTCAGCGCTATACAGTTCTTGTTCATAGAATCTACCAATTATTGGTTCATCAGCACTGTCTTTTATTGTGTACGTGTTTGGATGACCGTGATACACTTCCGTCACAGTGAACAACTCCTCTGTGAAATTTGCTTCGTACCCTTTTGTGAACACTGATTTGTACTTTGAAATTCTAACACTTTCTCCGACAGCAAACTTTGGTTCTGACGGCTTGCCTAAATTGTGACTAAAAAGTGTCTTCCATACTTCAGTCCAATTGGACTCATTTACACTGTCCGGTGTTGTTTTAATTGATCTGTTCACTGAACTGTTGTAATTATCAGTTAAGTCTTGAAGGACGTCTAACCATTTATATGTACTAGCACTGTAGAAGTACTTCCACATTAGCGCTTTCAGTGTTCTGTTAAACCTTTCCACAACTGCAGCCTTTTTGTCTGAGTAAGTAGAGAAAAATTCAATGTTATGTTTATTAAGCAATGACTTTACATCTTTGTTGTAGAACTCTGTGCCTTGATTGAACTGTGCGAATTTTGGGTATTTACCAAAACGATTATTAAATTGCTCTAAAATGTTACTGACTGCGTCCTTCATTGATGTCGCGTTTTTCCTATACACTGGTACTGTGAATGCGTACCTACTTAGTATTTCGATTGATGTGAGAATCCATCGGTATCCCTCGTTCTTGTCATCATATTTTGTCATGTCAACTAAATCCATTTGTAACTGTTCACCTAAAGTCTGGACGTACGTCTGTCTGAACTTATGTTTCCTAAATACTTGTCTGTACCTAGTGTATGTGTCTTGCTCGTTTATCCATTTCTTGACCTGGTTTCTGGTTACTTTAAGTCCGTCTGATACTGCTCTAAGATATAGTTTCTCTGGTGTTTGGAATCCAGTCTTAGGATTGTAGTAAATATCTCGTAGTCCTTGTTCTTTCATAATATCATCATCCATCTTATATTAACTAATGTAAGCCATCTACTCAAGGTACATCTCGATAAGCACTTCACCTATATCAATAGGTTTCCCGTCTTGACCTGTCATGTGGAATACAAGTTCTGAGAAGGAACCCTTAATAACTGAAATCCTACTTTCAACATCAATGTAACTAACTACCGAGCCTAATAATGGTCTGTCAGTTGGAACTGTAACACTTGTTATTACATCGCTGGGTCTTCCCCAAGGGTTAACGTTGTAACTGTTACTAACTAGATTGCAGTGTATATTTACACATCGTAGACCGTTATTAAAGTCAACTTTGCTATCACTTGTCAAACTCCTCCCTTTTAGTAGGATCATAGGATTAAAAAATCTATTAAAACCTAACATGGTCAGTAATCGTGTTTCTATTGTGATATCTTGTTTTACTGCTTCTATTTGACATCCAGCTGTTTCAACAAAGTAGGTTAGCTTAACACCATGTCTTTCAAGTAACTTCTTCATACTGTCAAATGTGTAGTAACCTTTATTAACAATTACATCAGATTCTCCATCATCTGTTTTCACTTTGAGAATAGTTGTTGGTTCCCTTATGTTGAAGTACTCCCAGAAAACTGATACTCTCTTCACAAAGACTGATTTATAGTTGCTTGTTAGAACTGAGTTCTGTAGTGATACAACTGTGTGCGAGCTCTGGAGTAAAATTGTGAACTTCATCTTAATAACATACGCTAGGTTATTAAGAATGAGACTAGGTGGAGGACAAGTTGGTAAGTCGCCGTATCGGTCGTATCAGGACTTTGAAAAAAAGTATGGAAAGGAAGACGATGAAAATCATGTTGATCCTATTGCTGGTAAAAATGCAGAGAATGCCGAGAGGGCTAAATTTATTAAAAAGTCCCCTCACGCTGACATGAATAGATTTAAATTTGAAGCAAAGGCTACTAGTAGTGGTGATATAGGAGTTATCACTTGGTTTGTTGATTTAGATGGTATATCTTCATATGACATTAGATATGACGGTTTTAAGAAGGATAAGGAGTTTACATCTTATCTCACTAGTACTAAGGAAATTATTACTCCAGTACAATTCAAAACTATGACTGACATGGATCAACCTCCACTAGAAGTAATAACAACCAAGTGGCCTTCAATATGGTCCAGTGGTGGTATAGTTCAGAAGATAAGTTTTACTGAGGGTGATCCTGTTACTGGAAAGTATCCTCCTATTACAAAAATTAATCCTATCTCCAACTTTAAGGTTTATGTTAGTAATAGTGAGTTTTTCTATAGTAACCTTCCTAAGATTAGTGATTTTATTAGTATTTATAATGTTACACCAAAGTTTAATAGAGAGTTGTCGTATTATGCTGCAATATGTGGAACTTATGTAGCTACGTATCTATGTGGAGTCTCTACTTATCATACAAGTCCTCATAGTAATGTAAATCCTATTATCACATCTATTATGAACTTTCACGTGTACTTATGGATTAGAAGGTTTATTAAAAATCCTAGTTTACTTCAGCAGTATTCCAATAGGTTAAAGGTAATATCTGGTAATATTCCTGTTAAGGGTCAGTGGGAGGTTGATAAGTTTAGTGATAGTCGAGCATCTATTGGAATTGTGTATAGGAAGTTTAGAAACGAGCATAGAACTGTTAGAAATGTTAGGTATGCTAAAAATACATCTGGAATGATAGTTGGGATTAGTTATGATGAGCTTACAGGTATGTCTTCCCTTGCTAGTCTAAATGATTATATGAGGTATTACGCAAACAAAAGTGTGGGTCTTGTTGCTACCTCACTTTTACAGGAAAGCTTGCAATGTTATGTATACTGTGTCCTTGGAGCTCAAGCTAATACTCGGTGGGCTATAGTAAACCGTGGAACCTCCTCTTTACTGTCTCAAAAAGGATTCCGTAAACTTGTAGAAGATGTTGTAGTTCAAACTGATATTTCAGTTGGAATCACTAATATGAGAACAGCAATTAGAGATACTAACGCAACAGTAAATACAGCAATAAATCCTGACATTATTTTATTTCCATCAAATTTGGTAATATTAAAGGATCCTATTCCCGGTTATAATAATATTCTACTTAAACCTAACTCTAGTGTTAAGTTTGGTGTAAATACTAAAGTAAATTATGTACGTGTTAAGAAAGCTGATCCTCCAAAGAAGCAACATCAGGATACAACACCTGTTAATCACCTTGATACTCTTAGTGGATACGTAAAACAACAGATTAAACCTAGAGAAAACAACTCCTTTCGTAGAACTATGGTTAACAGTAATAAGTCTTCGGAAGTTAGCGCTATTGCTGGGGCTGGAATTGGTGCTACAGTTGTATTTATTATAATGAAAATGTTTTTGTAAACATTATGTATGTTATAAAATGGCTCTCTATAGGGGATACAACAAAGGAGTAAATAAAGTTGACCCATCAAGTGGTAGTGTGTTTGATAAGGATGGATTTACCATGAAGGGTGACATTGAGATGGATGGTAATGAGGTGAAAGGTTTAGGTGCTCCTACAGATGATACGTCTGCGGTCACAAAAAAGTGGGTGGATGATGAGATCATTAAACAGGCTGCTGTTACAATTCAACCAGCAGGGTTTACAATGACTGGAGATATTAACATGGGAGGTAATAAGATAACTAATCTTGATAATCCTACTAATCCAGGTGACGCTGCTAGTAAGAGTTGGGTTGAAGGTAGTCGTGTAAGTTTACCCGGTCTTACTCTTACAAATGATCTTAATATGTCAACCAATGAAATAAAGGCTTTAGGTGATCCTACAACTGGAAAGTCTGCCGTTAGTAAGGATTGGGTTGTTGGAATGTTAAATAAACCTGTATCTGGACTTGATATTGCTGGCGATATTGATATGAAGAATTATGAGATTAAAAATCTTAAGGATCCCTCCGAAGATCAGTCTGCTGTTAGCAAGGGATGGTTTAATTCAAACACTAACAACTTCCTTAAGCTGTCTGGGGGTAATAATCAGTTTATCCGAGGTAGTGTTCTATTTGACGAAGTTCCACATACAAGTAAAGATGCTTCCACTTCTAGCGGTCTAATAAGAAAAGGCCTTCTGGATAAAAGGCTGGCCTATTACGTTCATCGTAACGGTTTAAATACAATGACTGGTAATCTTAAAATGGGTGGATATGAAATCACAAGTCTTAAGGATCCAACTACTGACCAGTCTGCAGTCACAAAAAAATGGGCCACCGATAATAATTTTGTTAATCTTGGAGGTTGTATGTTGGCTGATATATCAATGGCTGGATTCAGACTTTTCGGACTACCTGACCCAAAAATTGATAATGAAGCCGTTTCTAAAAAGTGGTTCACTGACTTTATATCAAATGGGCGTAAACAAAGGGAAACTCGGGCAGGGCTTACATTAACAGACAGCATTGATATGGGAAATAATGAGATAGTAAAGTTAGGTGATCCAACAACTGATAATTCTGCTGTATCCAAAAAGTGGGTAGAGGATAATATTAGCGGTGGTAGAAGAAAGCGTGAGACTTACAGTGGGCTTACCCTATCTGATGACCTTGACATGAATAACAATGAAATAATAAAATTAGGTGCTCCAACTACTGATAATTCAGCTGTGTCTAAGAAATGGGTCACCGATCACGTTAGTGGAAGTTCAATTAGTAGTAGCGGATTTACTATGAGTGGTAATATTGACATGGGGGGTTATAGTATTACAGGTCTCAAGGGTGGATCAGTTGGGGATACCAGTGCACTTTCCGCAAATACTATATACTCCTGGTGTAAACAGTTCCTGAAGCGTAATGGTGGTACTCTAGATAGTAATCTTGACGTTAACGACTATGAGTTAACTAGAGTAGGCAATCCTACAACTGACGGTTCAGCTGTCAATAAAAGGTGGGCAACTGATGAGTTCATGAGTAGTAGAGGTGGACTGGTAAAGGGTGATCTGGATATGGGAGATTCAAGTGGTATTCTTGATCTAAAGGATCCGGTAAATGATAAGGACGCAGTTAACAAGCAATGGGTAGAAAAGAATTTCCTAAAACCTTCCTCAGGTCTTGTCCAAGCAGTGGCCGATAAGAGATACGTAAGAATAAACCGTCACATTCACGCAGAGTGGATCTGGGGTTATCGTGGCGTATCAGTTGCAGCAACAAGGTACTATGCTTACTGTCACGACCAGATTCCACCTTCATGGAGAACAGATCCTATTAATAATATGACAGACCTCAACCTTGAATCAATTACTATTAAATCAGATTTTCCTAATTTTTCAACCATTCAAAATATACCACTAGCTCTAATCCTGTGGGCTACTGTATGGGAAAAACAATCTAATGGAAAATATACACAGGTTAAGAAGGAAATTACTCTGAGAACAGTAGACTTAAGAAAACTGTCACATACTTGGTTTAATGGAACTTACACAACTACAGGTGGAAGTACAGCTTGCTACGTTTTCAAGGGTAATAGTATGTTCTATTTAGGAAATCAGGTTGAGCTGGTAGATAATACGCTGGCCTGGTGTATTATAGTTAAACCGGAACACTCAATGCCAACTGGTTCTAGTATGGACATGTCTTTTTGCTGGTCACTTCGATACTCAGGGTCGGGTGCTTAACATGTGTTGTATCATAAAGTATCATGTCAAAGTGGCGCTCATGCTTCTCCTGTTTGGGTAATATCTGTGGCTGTCGTAGGAGGTCTAATAAAAATGGGAAGGTTGGTGATATAAATTTCTCTGTATCCAATAATATTAACGTTGGAGTAACCACACAGGGTAAAAAGGATGACACCAATAGTGTATCCGGACTGCAAGGGCCCCCTGCCTTGTGTACCCTCATGGAGGAAATAAAAGATGTTGAAAAGGCTTTGGAATAGGAAGGTTGGATGATATTGGGAAAGTGTAGGATAATCGTATTAGAGTCTCAGCTGAGATAAGTTAAATGAAAAACAAGAATAGCAGTTTCACATTCTAATAAATGATTTTAATATAATAAAAATAAATTCTTTTAAATAAAGATAAAAAAACTAGTGGTCTAGAAAAATTGGGAATGGTCTAGAAACCTCAGTTCCTATACTACTCAAGTATTGCGGGCTATGGCGGTTCTCGGCCATCGGTGATTTCATTTTCATTCGATTTTCATTTTCATTTGATTTTGTTTTGAAATCATTTTTGTTTTATTTTAATTTTGATTTTATTTCTTTTTCTATTTTGTTTACACTTTAATTTTTAAACTATTTTATTTTTGAAAATATACAAATATATAAAAATTTGCTACGGCGGTTCTCGGCCACCATAAAGCACTGTACAGTACAAGCAGTCATATCGATTACCGATAAAATCCAAAGAGCAATTGAGGATGGTTTGTTTTCTTGTGGAATTTTTTTGGATCTAAGTAAAAGCTTTTGATACTGTTAACCACCAAATATTAATAACTAAACTTGAGCATTATGGTATAAGGGGAATAACAAAAGATTGGTTTATTTCATACTTAGAAAATCGAAAACAATTTGTATCCATAGGAAGTTCAGTATCCGACAAGCTTGTTGTCCCTTGTGGTGTCCCACAAGGATCTGTACTCGGCCCACTGTTGTTTCTTCTGTATATGAATGATTTCAATAATAGTTCAAAGGTTTTCGATTTTCATCTTTTTGCTGACGATTCTAATCTGTTTTGTACAAACAAGAGTGTTTTGGACATGGAACAAGTTATTAATGATAATATTGTAAATATTAATTCCTGGCTTAACTGTAATAAACTTTCCCTTAACATTGATAAGACAAATTTTGTTATTTTTCATCCACCTCAAAAGAAAATTACATCCACAATAAAAATATTTACTAATCAAGTACAAATTAAACAAGAAACTAGTCTCAAGTATTTAGGAATCTATATAGACTGTAATCTTAATTGGAAAAGTCATATTCAACATATTTCGAAAAAAATCAAGAGAAGTATTGGAATGTTGTGTAAAATTCGCCATTTTGTTACCTCGCATGTAATTACACAATTTTATTATTCCTTAATTTACCCATATTTGACATATGGAATAACGTTGTGGGGAAACACCTATATTTCAAATCTTAATCCAATAATAACCTTACAAAAAAGAGTAGTCCGAATTATTACCTTTTCTAAATTTGACAATCATTCTAGTCCTTTATTTAAAAATCTTAATATTTTGAAGCTCGTTGATCTTGTTTTTCTAAACAACGCTTTATTCATGTATGATTATCATAACGGGAATCTTCCTGCCACATTTAATAACATATTCAAACAGGTCACATCAGTACATAATTATAATACCAGATTGGCTTCTAGAAATACATATTATATTCATAAAATAAGAACTAACTATGGCAAATTCAGTCTTCGATTTCAGGGTCCTAAAGTATGGAATGATATTGATGATAAATATAAAACTCTTAGCAAATCATCTTTTAAGAATAAAATTGTGGAAAATATGATTTTCATTTACTAGCGCTGCCACAAGTATTCATGAATATATACTTTTATAATTATACAAAATGATATAAAACTCATTATTTCATTTATTTTATAAAAGGTCACTAGACTGGTTTAGTCTTCACTATTTCTGGTGACCTGTGCCATAATATTTATATTTAAAAAAAAATCATATAATGTTATTTTACTTGGTGGTGCGAAAAAATAAATTATTGTTGTTGTTGTTGTTATTTCCATGATTGTAGTTTCGACATTACCAGAGAATAAAATCAATAGACTAAATACGATTAGTGTAATTATGCATCCACACAATAGATTGGTTAACGACAACACACATGAATTGAACACCTTATAACATATACATAGTTGAAATTACTTGCCTCAAGCTGCTAAGAAATCGTACTAAACAAAATATGAAATAAATAAGTATATAGTAATACTATATACTAGAAAATACATGCATGCAGAAACCCTCGCCTTGCTGAGAAAACCATTGTATTTTCCGAACATGAAGTATCTAAAGTAGTTGTTATAGTAACACAATAATTTTTTAAGAATATTCTTACAAATGAAAAATCGTCTAAAAATATCACTTTTAATTACAAAATTATCAATTTCCCAACATAGCTATATTATACGTAATATAAGCTTCAACGTTTTAAAGTGTTCTTTATAAAAAAACTAAAATATCACTTTTAATTACAAAATTATCAATTTCCCAACATAGTTATGATATTATACGTAATATGCAGGATATCATGGTGTCAAAACCTAAATCTTGCCAATTAGACCCAATTCCAAAATGGCTGCTCAAGAGTTGTATTGATGTCCTTTTACCAACTATAACAACCATCATAAACGCATCTTTGGAACAAGGAGCTTTTCCATTGAAATGGAAAGAATCTCTTCTGCGGCCTCTTATCAAGAAAATGTCATTAGATGGAGATGAATTTAATAATTTTAGGCCAATCTCAAATTTAGCATTTCTCTCCAAAACACTCGAAAAGATTGTTGCTTCTCAACTTGACACCTACTTAACAAATCATCAATTATATGCCAAGATGCAGTCAGCATACAGAATCCATCACAGTACAGAGACAGCACTACTAAGAGTTGTGAATGATGTAATGAGGGGGATTGATGGTCAACAAGAATGTGTTCTTGTGTTACTTGATCTTTCATCAGCATTCGACACAATTGATCACGACATTTTGCTTGACAGGCTGTGTAATCGTTATGGCTAAAGTCTTACCTCTGTGATCGCCCTCAGCGTGTGGTCATAGATGTTTCGTCACGACCGTGTTTTGCTAGCTGTGGGGTTCCGCAAGGATCTGTTTTGGGACCATTGTTGTTCTCTTTGTACATTGCTCCCCTCGAAGATGTGATCATGTCCCATGGAATAGATGCCATGATGTATGCTGATGATTCTCAACTTTATATTTTTCTGAATCGTAATAACCGCATTATCGCAACTGAAAAGTTGGAAGCCTGTATTGACGACGTTATGAATTGGATCACTTGCAATATGCTTATGGGCAATCCATCAAAGACGGAAGTAATTCATTTTTATTCACGTTACATGAAACCCGATTGTCCTCTTCGTCCCATCAAAGTAGGAGGGCATGATGTACAACCCGTAAACAAAGTAAAGGATCTAGGAGTTACACTCGATTCCTGCCTTACTTTCAAAGTGCATATTAATAACATATGTCGTTCGGCTTCACAATCAATACATCAAATTGGCAAAATAAGAAAATATCTTTCACGAAAGGACACCGAAAGTCTTGTTCATGCTTTTATTTCGTCCAAACTTGATTATTGCAACGGCGTGCTCTACGGCCTTCCTTCTTGTGAATTACAGAAGCTGCAAAGGTTACAAAACACTGCTGCCAGATTAGTCGTCAGAGAAAGGAAATCGGCGCATATAACACCGGTACTTTCTAATCTCCACTGGCTTCCTGTGCAACAACGAGTGACTTTCAAACTCCTTTTGGTGTCTTCAATTAAATAATGGCTGTATCGATAAACTTTGAGTTTGCAATAAAATTATTTCAAATTCTCATATGCAAAAAACTTTGCTTTCTTTTTTATTTAAAAAATTCAATATAATAAAAAGGGAATCAATATTAAAGATACACTGAAATTATATGCTGTTTGTTTAATCGTTTCATATACGCAAAGCCAAAGGGCATCAGGTTTTAAAGCAATTATAAAATCAATACAGCTAATTCAAAAAAGGTTGTCTGTCGAAAACTCAAAACCTTAAACGTTAAACTATGAGCGCGCAATGCATCATGGAATGCACAATTTGTTTTCACATTAACTCAGTATTCTAGCTTTACATGAATGACAAAAATTTATAGGAGTGAATGTAAAGGCCCTGGTTATACGTCGCTCTGGTGTTGGGTCAAATTCAATTTTTGCCCGAAAAGATATACCAAAAATCCATCAAAAGATCGTCGTAAACATACATTGTAATAATATAAGCTTGTCTCAGATTTAGGCCACGTTTACACTTTCGAGTCTAGTATGTCTATGTGTATGACCATACGGCAAATATACCATCGCGTTTTGATTTGCATCCGGAGTGCCAAACATACCACCGTTATAGTGTAAACACAATGCTGAGAAACTTAGTGAAGTTTTAACGAAATTGATTTGTATTCAGAGTGGCAAATGTAGTGGTCCGTAGTTAGTACGCCACAGCAAACCACGCCGTTATAGTGTAAACACAATACAGTCTCGATACTAGAAACATAGTAAATTTTTAACGGAGTTGTTAACCTGCGTAGCGCCATAGTGTAAACACGGCCTTAATTAACAATATATTTATACGTCGATTGTTGGGAGAAATAAATTTGACTCGACACAGGAGCGACATATAAACAGGGCCGTACTGTCAAAATGCACCGTGTGTATAGTCATGGATAGCTAAAAGACTTTTAACTCTTTTAACTATCCATGGTACAGTCACGATTTACGATGGATAGCAATTTGGTTGACGGAAACTGAATTGGACTTTCAAATCGATGAAGTGAATATCTTTTTACCAATGTCAATTAATTAAAGAAAATGACTCCTCAATATTTGCGAAATTCCGAATGTTAGACACGACTGTTATCGGCAGACCATACGCTTGCGTAGCAATATTATGCGTAGAAAGTTAATGTAAAGTGTCAAAGAATTCCCAATGGGACTCTGAATTTATTCTAAAAATGCGAGATCAACTAATTTATCTGCAAATTACTCGTTTGGTATGACATTGAAATTAGTTCTAATTAATTCCTATGTGATTTCAAAGGGTCCACCTCTTTGGCTAATTGCATTTGCATTTTACCTAAACATTCAATTTGATACCAAACTAGTAATTCGCTGACATTCGGAATTTTTCGCATTTACTTCGCATTCACCGCTGAGCCTGTTTCTTCATGACCTTGTGCAGTATTTCAGATAGGGTATATCCTCTGGGCGCTGCAGCAAAACCCCCATAACAACGAGCTCCTTGTGCAGGTGCATTGCTACGCAAGCATATATGGTCTGCCAATAACAGCCGTGTCTGCAAGGCCCAGCATATGAAATTTTCGCACATATCAAGAAATCGTTTCGTTGACATTTGTAGTAAGATGCTCACTTTGTCGATCTGAAAACCCAAGATTTCGGTAAACCAAATTGCTCTCCACCGTAAGTCTTGGCTATACGCACACGGCATATTTACAATTACCTTCACTCCTGTGGTCATGCAATAGTTAATTAATGCGAAACAAACCGTCGATTCCCATGATGCATTGCACGCTCATAGTCTAATGTTTATGGTTTTGAGTTTTTGACGGACAACCTTTTTTGAATTAGCTGTATTTAAAACAAACTTACCTTCGTTAACGTTGGCTCCCTTCTTTTAGTCGATTCTTTCACCCTTTCTTTCTTGAAATTTACAAAATCTTGCAAAAATGCAAGCAAAAATGAAATATATTTGCAAGAAATTTATCAATTATCATATCAAGAAATGTTTGCTATTTCGCTGTCATCATACAGTCGTTATAATGCAAACTTTAAATTGGACCATGCAATCACATTGTTCGCTATTCATGAAGTTTACCAGGGTGAAAAAGCCAAAACAATGCACTCGCAATATGGTCTTCAAATCACAGAACTCCCATGTGATAAACTAGTGAAAAGGTCATTGGCAAAATGTAGTTGACCATGTGAAGTCTGCTGATGTTGTTATTTGGGATGAGGTTTCAATATAAAGTCAGAGTATACTTGAAATTGTTAGCCAGATTGATCATATTGTATTAGTGTCATATAAGTCATTTGGAGGTGTACATTTTATCTTAATTTATCTGGACCCCTAATCTGGATCCCATTCTGGACCCCATTCCTGACCTTTTAAAAACCAACAGGCCAGATGGTAGGACACAACTATTTGGATTTCAATATCACGATGATCAATTAAATTCGCTTTGCTTTTTTTGACTTTCTGAATCCTCAATCCTGTTCAATGCCCTAATCATTTAAGTCAGCGACAATCGCATTATCGTAGGAAGGCACTTCATCTTGCTTCAAAATTTCCAATTCCCTACTCCCAGGAGAAACCTTGAAGACAAACGCCCGGGAGGATGGTGATGTTTTGAATGATACGTATGATATAATCTCATACATTAAACATTGCTGGGCAACATTGTTATTCCTATTAGAAATACTTTTTACTGCACTAGTTTTCTTGTTTCATGTTCTTTTGAATGGGAACAAGTGTACTTTCAGTAAACTGCATGTTGTTCTTGTGACCTTGTGAAATACTGTGTAATGACATTGTCAATGTAGTGTCGGGTTGCTATAAATCAGCAAATTACCCTGCTGCATTTACAGCAAAAAATGTCAACAAATATTGGCTTCCAATTTATTGCAAATAAGCCATGTCTTCAACAAATGTGGGTTGGGGAGGGACTGCTTACAGCTGCGTATGTAATGTTTTCTTAATTTGCATGTATTCTTTTGGTTCTTAAAAGGTCCAGAAAGGTAACCAGAATGGGGTCTAGAAAGGTATCCAGAATGGGATCCAGAATCGGGTCCAAAATGGGGTCCAGAATGGGATCCAGAAGGGGAGTGCACGTTTTGTCAACCCCCACAATTTTCAACATTGCCTTTCCTCACTGAGTTGAATTGACAAATATTATCCGGCAAGACAATTTCCAGAAATCTCTAGCGGTTGCACTAGAGTGTTTGAGATATGGCAAGTGCACTGACGAGTCAGAACTCTATATACAGAGCTTAGCAAATACAATACAATACTATGTGACGGAACTTTACACCTTTTCTTCAAAAGATTGCCTGTAGAGATCCATAATTTAACATACTGCTTGGTATTCCCTGAAGAATGTTCTCTTTACATACACAGGATCAAGGGAATGTCACCACCTTGGATTTCACGGTTGGAAAGACTATCAATTTAAAAGAAGACTGCAATGTTTTGCTGTTGTACAACATCAGTGAATATTTGAGGAATGGCACAACTGGTAAACTTGTCAAAGTTGAAGAAGATAGCTTGACAGTTGCCTTTCCGAAAGTTGGACACAAAAAATAGCTCATAAAATATGGTATGTGCCATGCACAGAAAGGTACTTGGTAGCCATACACAATTCCCAATCATTCCAAGCTATGCAGTCACTGTTCACAAATCGCAAGGCATGACACTGGATGTTGCAATAGTTCAATGTACACTGAGTTTGTTCCAGGACAAACGTATGTGGCAGTATCCAAAATGAAAAATTATTATTAAGAAATATTTACAGAGGATAGACATTTCAGTATGAACACACTGCTATCAATATGTGTCCTCTTCTCCTACTATAAAACTACTGTGCCTATGCTAGGGTATAAAAACTATTAAAAACTATTAAAAGTTAACAAGATTATACATAATATAACTAAGTTGAACTACTGGGAATAATGTTCAAAAAATGCATTCACATAATAGATCAAATACAATAAGAGTCCAATGACATCTCAAAAAATTTTAAATCCCCTTCAGCTCTCATTGAGATGAGTAGATCATTATATATCTTTGCGGCAACATATCTAAAAGATTGTCCAGCATATTCCAATTTGACTTTAGGTAATTTAACAAGCTTAGAATTATTCTTGGTACATTGATTATGATTGTTTGTCTCAAAATACCCCTGAAAATTACAGCATACATCATTATCCAAACACTTTCTTACAGTTAGACATGCCTTCTTTTGTATTAGTTTCTCCAACCGGGGAATATGTTTTTCCTCTCCAACAATTTCATTAACTCGATTTTCTATTAGAGCTAAGTTTAGCAAGTTGAGATTCTTGTCAACGTAGGTTTAATTGACATACTGTAGGTTATCAGAAGAATCATCATTTCATAGATTTTAAATGCGGCTTCGGGTGTTACGTATACACACAGTTTGGACAGTAACCTCACACGGTTACTGGCTTTCTTATACATGATGTTAAAATTTTCACTAAGGGCTAAACAGGAATCAAGAGCATATCCAAGATACTTGTATGACGTAGTGAAATTAATAGAATGTCTTCTGTATTTTACTTCCAAATTGCGTGGTTGTAATGAAAGTCTCTTCCCTGTGCCTAATAACATGATCTCGGTTATTGCTTTCTTAAGATTTATCACCAACTCGTTTTGATAAAAAAACGTGCAATTTCTTCCAAATCCTGAGCAAGTACCCCCTCTATTGCCTCCACATCCTTTCCTGAGAAATATACGACAGTATTATCCGCATATTTTATAACTCGGGAGTTAACTAGGTGGTCAGCCAGATCATTATAGAACACAGTGAAAAGGGGCCCTAAAATAGATCCTTGTGGTACTCCACTAAAAGCCAGTTGGTAAGGTGTCAAATTTGCACCAATACGGACAAGTTGTTGACAACAGAATAGAACCAGAGCAACTCATTTCCCTTTATTCCATATGCCTGTAACTTTTCAAGAAGGCCTTGCTAAGGTCTATGAACACGGCTCCAACAAGATTGACTTTGTCCACATCCTTACGTATGTCATCAATGAACAAGGTAGCTGCTAGACTCGTAGATCATCTCGACTGATATCCAAACTCTTTGACAGTAGATCTTCTTTTTCAAGAAAATTTGTCAGTTGTTGATACATTGCTTTCTCTAATATCTTAGACAAAACCAGCAGTACTGATATTGACTGATACTTTTCTGGTTAATTGTATGAACCAGATTTATGTATTGGCACTACCTTGACTACTTTCCATAATGCTGGAAAACAGGCCGTCTGACTGATAAGTTGAGGATATGGCAGAAAGGTTGTGAAATATGTTCTCAGCAATCTTTCAGCATGCCCGGTGGTAAATTGTCCACTCCAGTGGCTTTGGTTATCCTCAGTTGCTTTAATTCATTTAAAATGAATATGTTGGAAATACACTGCATCTTGAAAATATGACTTGTCTGTGATATCACTGTCGCTGGATATCTCCATACGAAATCAGTAAGTAAAATTGCATTTGATACATCTCACAGCATTAGCAAAGTATTTACTGAAAATTTTCGCTTTATTTTGATTGGCATTGGTACTTGTTTATCATTTTTGTCTTTGGTTGGAAATATGCTCTTAATTATGTTCCAGAATTTCTTGGGGTTGGTCGCATTCTGTTGAATTAGATCTTTGACAAAAGCACTCTTGGCATACCATAACTTGTTATTACAAGAATTTCTTAGTTTTTTGTATGAACTCCAATGTCCTTCATCTTTAGTCTTACATGCTTTTCTTAGCATGCGATCTCGGTCGGTCGGTCTGCCATGCTCTTACTTATATCTGCGTTCAACCAAGGGCATGGTTTACCCTTCAACATTTTAATCCAATAGATTGCACTCGAGATATCTTTTCTCAAAGTCTAAAATATCCAAAAATGAGAAAAATGAGTTTAAAGTCTCTTGTATCGAAAACACTTGATTTTTCATACATGTTGAAAATCTTAAGCCTGGATAAATCAATTCCTACCATTTGTTTGGTGTTTTAAAAAGTTTTGTTACAGCTCAAAATCCTCTAGCCTCATGTATGGTGCGTCATCGGTATCAAAAATGTTATTCTATTTTAAGATTAGATTTTCATATATCATATATTTCATATAATCGCATTTCATAATTATAACACTATAAATTTTGGATAACATGATTTTTCATATAACACTGATTTTTTAATTGTGCCGACTTACCTATATCATACTATAATATCTATTTACATCCTACTGATATCAATTGTCATTTATGTTATAAAGAAGTGGGCAAAAATATTTTTTCCTTTTGAACTTGAGCAAAATACACTTCTTAATTTGACTAGGATAAATTGCTATTTGTACAGCAGCATGCTCTACCTCTGTCAGGAAAAGGCTTTCCACATTAAAATCTGGGTCTCTGTACAGTGGTCTACCACACACAATCTTTGGTTGAACCAACACAACATTGTAACTACTGCAGTTGCAGTATTGGAGCTCTTCCATAGTGCATAAACACTCTGGCTTAATTGTTAGAAGGCCTACAATAATGCCATATTATGTATACTGGCCATGTTCAAATGTTACATTATTTTTATTATGTATATTGTAGATATGCAAAATTTACAAGATATTGTCACCCAACTAAAGCATTCAGTGGGAACATTGGATCAATTGGCTTCAGTTGGGTTAAAATGCAAACAGTGGAGGATTGATGCCCCTGACACAATTGAAGATATTTCTTCAGAGCACCTGTCTTCGCCAATTGTTACTATTGTGAAGCAAGCTTCCAGTTCTGACAGTGAACCAGACAGTGTAAGTAACTACATTATTAGCATAATAATCTACAGAGTGTTAAGTCAGTTCAAGCCTTTTAGAATTTTTCTGGTATTTCTTAAAATCTAACCATGCACATCTATAGACCAATTTTGACACCAGACAATGACTAGTAATTTGTTATGGTTGGATCTTAAACAGCCTTTCAGTTATCTGTTTGAAGTTCTGGTTAATAATTTGGGTATGACCAATAACGTTTTGCTCTACTGAGGCTCCGACTATTAATTGATGAACGAAGCCGAAGCGAGTATGCAAAATTTTATTGGAAATTTCATGACTTATATGATCAGTCATTCTTCGATTTTTTTTATTCACATGCAAATATCCATACAAATTATCAACTACTGGATTACTTGACCTGCCCAATGTATTGTGTGCTATTACTTGGTCAGCCATAATCTATTCACTTTTACACACAACTATATTTATGCCATGAATCCACATCCTATTTAACTCGTATAAAATAACTAACCATTTTGATTCTAGGATCACTGATATTTCTGGCCATTGGGTTGTTCCAGAAAAGATCCACAATCCTCCCACAGAGAAAATGCCTGCTGTCTGCAGGGGGATGGGAGGAAAAATTGTTTCTGATAATATTAGTGAATGTATTAGGACATCTGAAGGGGTGTTAACTTCCCATTTCCCCCCACCTACCATGCAGGGCTTTTGTCATCTTCACTAAGAAGTACATAATCTTTATGATAGAAAAATCAAGTTGAAACAGTTGGACAAGTTGAAATTAATTGCCATGTGTTATTTGCTTTCTTTAATTTCACAGGTTAATGCGGGCACAATGTAAACAATTGATGTAAACTAATCGCTGATTGGCTTAAATTATATAAGCTCATTGCTGAATGGCTATGTGTTAACATACGGTAACAGTATGGTACAGTATGTTTGCGATAGCATATAGATCTGCTTCGCAGATACAAAAACAATTCTTGATAGTTTTTTTAGTATAGGGGTAATTGTTAGGAAAATGTCTTTTTGGACTGCTTTGAGGCATGTTTGTTGGTTTGTGTATAATAAACACATAAAAATTTTAAGTTCCTTGGCCATGTGGGAAAGAAAAGAATACTGCGAATGCTCTAGCAGCCCGTAAGCTCGCAAAGGATCATAATTAATGTTATATGAAAAATCGTGTGTTATCCAAAATCAGTGTTATCCAAAATCAGTGCTATATGAAAAATCGTGCTATATGAAAAATTGTGTTATCCAAAATCAGTGTTATATGAAAAGTCATGTTATCCAAAATTTATAGTGTTATATGAAAAATCGTGTTATCCAAAATTTATAGTGTTATATGAAAAATCGTGTTATCCAAAATTTATAGTGTTATATGAAAAATCGTGTTATCCAAAACTTATAGTGGTGTTATATGAAATGTGATTATATGAAATATACGATATATGAAAATGAAAATCTAATCTTAAAATAGAATAACATTTTTGACACCGATGATGTGCCATACTTATGTCACTCCTACTGCTTCCAGAATAGCTTCTTTCTGTTGTTGTCTAAATCAGTTTCTCTTCTAGGCGTCGTTTCTTCTCTTTTACAGTTGCCTGATTTTTTACAGTTGCCTGTAAATCAGATATCTTTATTTGCTGCACATCCTTGCATCACAAACTTGTTTTGTTTTACCCCCAACATGAATGGACAGCTGCTTCATAACACCAAGTCGACTCTGCTCCAATATGGAAGTGGGAAACAGCAGCAGCTACAGCACATCGCACTGCTTTGCAGCCATGTTGTTTATGCTTTGGATACCTAGCCCAAGCTAGAGCATTCAAACTGCCATTTTGGTTTTCAGTGGTGTCAAGAACACACCTTTGAAGCAACTCTGTTAGACTAAGAGAAATGACCCACACATCCGATTTCATCTTCCAAAGTTAAATTTCCTAAACAAATGTTCATTAGCATTTTTAAAACTATTGACACATATATGTACTGTATATTGTAATTGTTTACATCATCATAATCTATTCATTTTTACACATAACTATATTTATGCCATGAATCCCACGTGCTATTTAACTCGTATAAAATAACTAACCATTTTGATTCTAGGATCACTGATATTTCTGGCCATTGGGTTGTTCCAGAAAAGATCCACAATCCTCCCACAGAGAAAATGCCTGCTGTCTGCAGGGGGATGGGAGGAAAAATTGTTTCTGATAATATTAGTGGGGTATACATAAAGTGCGAGCCAGCGAGCCATGCCGATGTTGTGAGCCACTCGATATGTGCGAGCCATGTGCAATAAAGAAATTTGAGAAATTGGTCTCCGCCAAATGGAAGTACTGAGTACGGACCACATGGTACGGAATGGTATGGACGCTTCCTCTTCGCTGTCTCCTCGGTTATACTAAAAAGAAAATCAATCTCTTCTTGTCGCGTTTAATTGCGGTTCAATCAAGTCACTCAAGGTAAAGTCACTCAAGCTAAAGTTGCGGTTTGTTGATTCAAATATAATTTCTGCTAAAATGTTTTATTAATGAGCTTCTTTCATTTTCTAATAATTTATTTATTATGCAAAATTAATTAAGATGAACAATAGGCGCCTTCAGTGTTTACTCGAAGCAAACAAGCGTGGATTCACTCTTGACTTGGATCCTTCTGGAGAAAATAATAGATGTTTTTATCAGTGTCTTGCACAACATCTGAAGATAGAGGAAGACAACGTTGTGGATATGATCCAGTCGTACATGGCAGCAAACCAAACAGTGAGCAATAAAAACAAGGTGATTATATTAAAATATATTAGCAAGGTGATCATATTATTATATATATATTTAGCAATTTGGATGTCCGAATTTTAAAAAAATTCAAAAACAAATTTCTTTTTGCCTCTATTTTGAACTCTCCTTCCCATTGTGAAATTGGCATTTTGAACACTTTATAATATATCTAATGCAGTAGTCATTTGAAACCCCGACCCCCACCCCCCTGTCTTTAACAACCATTTTAACGCGTGCATGTGGAGTCTGGGAACTAATAGATATCACACTTTTTATGGTCCAACATGGACGTTCAAGACAACTTTCAGAGGATCTTTTCTTATTCAATATTCCTTTATTTTCTAATTTCTACTGTGAAAATCAGAGGAAATTGAACATAAAACCTTCAATTTCATCCCGGGGAGCATGTTTTTTTTAAGTCTTTAACAACTGCAGGAATGGTATTTTTAGCTGGGTTTTTAATGTTCCTAAAATGTTAAAATCCCCGCATGGTCCCAGGGGCCGGGGTTTCAAATGACTGGTGCATAATTCTTTCAATGATGAATTCAACAGTGTCGTGAAATAATAGCTTTCTGCATTTATAACTCTCCTTTTCTATACAAAAAGTTTGTCCCATTGTTGCAGTAACACATTTGCTTGTCTCCTAAGTAACACATGTGATTGTTTTTAATAGCTAATTTAACCCATTAAGCTGCAGAGCTTCCCCACTGAAAATCCATCATTTGGCCGGACATCTTTCGTGAATGGCCCCCAAGTAGATCCCATATAGATTGCATATTGTCATTTGGCTAGTACTTTTCACATAATTTTGTGATTTAGGATGGAACAATTGATAAACAAAACCTGTTGGAATTTCTATCAGATGCTGATTTTCCAGCTACTGGGAAACGTCCATGCACATGGAAGGAATCAGTCATAGCATTAAGTAATGAAATGGCAAATCATGTTGTGATACGTTGTGCTGCATCACTGTTTTGCATGAATATAAATATAATGGATTGGGAAGGGGTAAGTGATCAGCTTATATGATAAACAGAATATTTTAATGTAATTTAAAATCGATATAGCTACCTACTTTAGCAGACTAGATTACACTGAAATTACATAGATTAAATTTTGATCAAGGCAAGAAGAACAAAATCCATCACCACAGCTAGAACGAACATGTTAATATTAGTAAAATTGCAGAGTTCAGTTGCAAAATGTTGTGAAATAAGGAATATACAGTATATTCCTCTGATATTTGCAAATTTTGTATCAATTTGTATTACGCACAGGGATAATGCAACATTTTCGACCCAAATGTGGTGCATTTTCCCACGCGTAATACAAATTGTGCAAATTTCGCAAGGCTATATTTTCTGCATTTTACAACTTTTCGTAGCCAAACTTTGCAATTTTACCGACTATTTTTAACATTCTCTTTCTAGCTGTGGTGATGGATTTTGTTCGTCTTGCCTATATCAAAATATAGTCTATAGCTGGAATCATTTATTGATCGCAAGTTAAAAATTGATACCAAGTAATGTTAAACACTTGCCATGGATAAGAGATAAAAATTGGGTAAGGGGTGTTTGCTGGTAATGAATGTAATTTATATATTCACAAATACAACTAACTGTCTACATGTAATATTGATCTATTTACAGAGAATGACAGTCACAAACCCATTTGTTTGGCAAGGTATTCATGATGTCTACCTTGCATATACTGGATCGCATTATATGCTATTAACCCAGAAAACAAGTTGCAACACATCAGAACACAAAGGTGGATGTCATGTGCGTGGGCAAGGTATACTACATAAGTGCAGTATGAATGAATGAATTTATTATAGCAAAGTTCTGTTGGGGGGGGGGGGCACCTGGGATGAAGTATTTATAGTACTGTATATATAATGTATATGTTTGCAACAGAGGGACCAATTTACAAAATCGTTACAACTTATGACAATGATTTGTTGATCAAGATTTGGGACTATATACAGTAAAGATATGTTACTTTTTGTTCCAGAATGATACAAATGTTAGACATATACTGTATACAAAAATCATTTTGGGCCTTGCAACACTTTCACAAATATTTTTGTGGTTAAAAAAGATTTCAAAATTAAGGTTGTGCAAATAAAAACCCTATATAACTTATGACTACAATTAAAAGTTCTGTTGACATTTTCCTAATTGTTTCAAATACAATCAATACAGAGAATATTATTTTTGTTTCTTTTGTTGAACATACGGTATTACATGTTATTATTAAACTTTTAGCAAAGAGTGAAAAGCACCGAGGGGCAAGACAATTTTGCAGTACTGGTCCTGAAGAGTATAACCCTGGCATTAGTGTTTTTAAAGGAAGGCCATTGAAGGTAGCTTGATCACATAGCTAGAAAATACTATTATATTAGTTAATATGACCTCCCTAACCTTATGTTAATGTTCCTCTTTTAACAAAATATGTTCTATTTTTATTAAAGTTTGATGATTGTGGCCATCAATTTGTTGGTTCTTCTTCTGATGAAAGTCTTAGTGAATCTAAATCTGTAAGTTGATCACTCAGTGTGGCATGTGGCAGATATATGTCGCAGTTATGTAAAATATCTGCAAAGTATACTGTATGTACAAAAGTATCTGTCACATATATCTCTTGTCGTATAGGAATTTGGCTCAAAACAGATTTGTCACAGTTATAATTAGATTATCAACCAGGCAGATATGTCAGTATGTCACCAAATTCACCTACTTTGACTATACTGTATATACTGTACATCCAGACATTTACTCTGTTAGAGTTACTTATACAAAGTTACTGTTACAGTAGTTTGTATATTTACACTGTTTTGAGTAATTATTTTTTATGTACTATTTAATTAATAAACGAGCTGCAACGTAACCTAATAAAACACGTAGTGCAAAGCAGTGGCGAAGCTGAGGGAATTCGACTAGTCATGCTCTAAGACCTGCACAGGCTAGGGGGGTCCGGGGGCATGCACCCCCGGGAAAATTTTGATTTTCGAAGTCTGGAATGGCCATTTCCTGCGATTTCAGGGTGAAATTCATGCAAAGAAAGCACAAAAAAGTGTGATATAAAGAGGAAAATTCTTAATACTTTTTGTTTTTGAAATTTGTATTTCCACAAAATTTAATTTTATTTCGCTATATATTTAAACTTATCTGCAAATGACGCTCAATATAGCCAATATTGGCAGAAGAAAGAGGATAATATTGTATGTGTACATTTTAATACCCTGCTGAGTGCTGTAATATGATCTTTCATTTGGAATTGCGTAAAGGTCAACTGTAATGTACAGTGTCTACAAGGACCTTGTAAATCTGAAGCAGAAACCTAATGTTGAAAGATACTTTGTTTAGATATTTGGTATATCTGTAAACCTCAAAATATATAAGCACTCGTGAATAAAGCAAATGAACTGGTAGTAAATATATTTATATCAATAGGAAAGGCCTTCACAAATCTTGTTTATATTCGCCAATGTTATAATACAGTAGAATACACAATCGAGTCTGTTCACATGCATTTCGTGAACTAAAATATCTTGTTAGAAGCCAGAAGGCCTTCCTACTATTCACTCGATTGACGTTGGTCAATTTCCATAGATACATAACCAAGATCACTTGAATAAATCTCGATAGAATTGCTGAATAATTTACGGCATTTAACTTGGTCGTGCTTTCGAAGATGAGCATGACCAGAAGATAAAATTCGGCGAGATACGCATGCGCGAGGAGCAATTTAGCCAATAGAATGCGTTGGAATTGATAATTTAGTCGTGCTGGCCTGACGAGAGCACGACTAACGGGCGGGTTACCCATTAGTCGTGCTATTAACCTGCGGTCGGGTGAAACTACGCAATCATACCTTGAATTGGTTTAAAATCATGGCAAAATCACCGGATTTAAAGGGATTTCGCACTTAATAGATGATGCAAGTGTACGACGAATCATTTTTAAAATTTTGGGGGAATTTTTTTTAAGACTAAAAAATTCTTTTCTTTGAAAAAATTTTACTCGTGCTCAGCATGACTAGCACGACCTCTAGCTTCGCCACTGGTGCAAAGCCTATAATAAAACATGTGCAAGTATATTAAGTACTGTTTAATAAACGAGCAGGAGTGTTTTATTAGGTTTCAAGCCACGGTACGGTGGCTTGAGAACTATAATAAAACACGACCTGCGAGTTTATTAAATGGCTTCAAACACGACTACAAATTCAATAGATATACTGCCTTATTATTAGTATTCTTTATATAAAGAATACTAATTACGAGTGTTTTATCAGGTTTAAAGCCACTGCATGTGACATATTATGGTTGACATGATTTGCCAATAAGCATATGAATTATTAATGAGTGTTTGAACAGCTTCAAAAACATCTTCAAAAATAGTAAAGAACACTAATGTGGATGAGAACACTAAAAAATACGGATGAGCTTTTATATAAATTATACTAGTTTTGTTAGGAGTTTTACAGTATACAGGTATAAAGCAACTTCATGTGAAATATAAAATATTTTGTTGCCATGATTTTCCAAAATGCTTAGGAATTATGCAGGAGTTTATGAAGCTAGTGTTTAACCCATTGAGTCACATTGTGCTAACCCCAACCCTAGCGCCCGATGCACCCTACTTTGTTATTTTACTCTGTCTCTGTCTATATGCCAGCCGGAGGGAGAGCGCTGGTGCTTAAATGGGCTAAAGTATAATAATTTTCAAATATGTTTTTTCCCTTTTTCATTGCAAGGGGAGTGAAATACCTGTAATTGAAATAAACACTTCAAGTGACGAAGGAAGTGATGTAGTTTCTAAAAAACGAAAATCCAGAAAGCGAAAAAGATGTAGAACAATTTTGAAAGTAAGGAAATATAAGAGAAACAGGAAATGATGGTGTGTGACTTTTAATTGTCCACAGCCCATTCTGGCATTAAAATAATCTGAAATTCATTTTTTATTAGGATGACAGTTCAATGGATAAACTTAGTGTTATAATGAGCGGTTTGAGCTCAGCTGAGACTACGCCAGCAAAGAAAGTAAAATCTCCGAATACACGCAGTAGTCCGTGTACTAAAAAATTGTTTTCAGAAGATGAGTAAGTCTTTTAAGCTTTATACTGTACTGTAAAATTAAGAACAGTTGTTTTCAAATCACAAGAAAGCTTTATTTCTGAAAGTCATGAGTGACCTTAGCCTTGTCTCTGCATGGCCTTTCCGCATGCGGCTGGATCGGTTTTGAACCGCGGGAGAAGGCCTACAGTATAGCACAATTCGTTTATTATGAATTTCTAAAAGTAACCTTACCCGAATTTTCAGTAGTCGGTGCTTGTACTTCCTTCCAAATATCTAAATATCCTCCTTGCTCATCCCAAAAACAAAAGCATAAATTCGTTGAAAACATCGCTAGAAATACCCAGAACTGGAATGGCAAATACGGTTCACAGAAGGACAAATTTGCGAATTGTGCTAGGCCTTCTCGCTAAATCGACTTGCTTCCAAATACCACTTCCCATTTCTCCCGTAATTTGCATACAATATATAGGTTTTGCACCACGTTTTTCAATCTTTAATATGCAACCCATATTAGCATGTATTCAAAGGTTCTGTACAGATCTTTCTGTTGTAGCTCTGTCTCTGTTATTTAAGCAATTTGTATCATACTGTTTTCCAGAGATGTGACATTTGTACAAAGAGGCAGTCGGTCGTACCTTAACCAGGATGAAGTTGATTTAATGGAAACGTTGAACGTGACAGCAGTGCCTCCAACACCAGTTGGGCCTGTCAAGTATGCTGTTGACTACAATGAAAAAGATCCGTTGGCAGCAGTCACTGACAATTGGAATTGGGACTGTGCGCAACCTTGCAAAAGAAAGGGGTTTTGCAGTGAAGGACGACGGACCTCACAAACTTGCCGTTGGCTCCTTGGTATGTTCCAACAAAATATGTCCATACAGAAAAATTTACCATTGCTCCAATAAGATGGATTTTAACAGGGCTAAAAAATGTATCCACTGTCAAGAAATTGCCGAAGTTATTGCGTGCTCGGCAAGAAAATATGTGGAGAATGACCGCTGTCATAAAGAAATGACAGTTATTTATATTGGCAAACATAATTGTAATCCACGAGTAAAAGAGAAAAAACCAAGCAAAAAGGATGTTGAAGACATTCTCCGTACAAGACCAACGATAACTACTGGGCAGATTCAGATCGATACAGTAAGAGAAGTTTTGCTCAGTGGCAAGGATGCACAGGAGGTACATGATCTGGCTATGACATACAGCAACAAAACACATCTGTCAAATCTTCGCACTTCGATTAACAATAAGGCTAGACCAGGGGGTTCAGACATAGAAGCTGTCCGACTTCTGCAAGATGATTTCACAAAACGAGGACTCGACAAAAATTTGATTTTAAAAGTTGGTGATGACTTTGTTATTCTTTCCTCGGAGCACAAATTGCGACTAGGAGCGTTAATAACACTCGGACTTGTCGAGGAACCTGTCAGTCTTGACGGCTGCGAAAGCCACGCAAAGGACTTTACTGAGGTCGAAATGACAACTTATTACCCAGTTTTACGAAGAAATGTCAAACTAGTAAGTTTGTTCGCTCCGAAACCAGGCGAAAACTCGGACAATGTTGCAGCCCATGGTCAGTACCTTTGATGATGAAGTAAATAAGATTATTCCGTCAGTTGCACACGAATATGGGATTGATCCAGAACCCTACATTGGTATTGGCCTTGATCCTCACTCTTACGTTGGAGACGAAGGTGGAGCGCTCTGGAGTGGTCTTTGTAAAGCAAAGGGCGATGGTGTTAAAAGTAAGACCATTTCAGACGCGTTCCATGTAAAGCAAGATATTCGTCGGCACCTAAAGTATTTCAAAAGTAAGAAGGATCAAGAAAGATTCCAAAGCTTGATGTCTGATGCATGCAAGTCGCCTACGTCCATTCAGGCGGATGAAGCCGAGAAAGCATTAGATGATTTAATTCGAAAGAAGTCAACTGATCCTGTCAAAATGAGCAACTTCAAAAAGTGGTGGTGGCGGAGACGTGCTAGATGGCAGCAGTGGTGTAAAACAAATAGTGCATCGTCTGCTGAAGTTGCCAATGCCAAGTCTCTTAGTGCATCAGGCTTTCGAAAACGACTTTTAGATGTGGTTACAACAGAGTGCTCCGCTGCTATCCTTGAAGCAGCTGAGATAAAAAGGCAACTGGCTTAAAAACTGTAGGAAGAGGACCCACGGCATTTGATCGTGCCAATAATCAAGTTAACAAACTCTTAACAGATGAGGAAGCATGTGCCACTGCTGTGCAAAACATCGCTCAAAACGCAAGTTCAATGGCAAATACGTTTACTTCCGTAGCAGATATTGAAAGCGCACACCGTGACTATCGTGTTAATACAAGGGACAGTCACAGATCAGATAAAAACAACACGCACATCCAAACAGCCAAAGAAGACTTCCTCACAATCCGTGAGTAAACACCAGCTTCAATACTTCGCAAAACATGTCGAAAATGTGTCAATGGATCTTTTGGAATGTGATAGCAGCATGGTGGAATTTAAGTTCAAGTTGCTTGACACTATGGGATACCTTGAAGATGTAATTATTTCCAAACATTCTACTAGCTGTTCGTCTTTACATTGTCGAAAAAGATGTCATCACCTACTCTGGATTATTCATAACGTTTTTAGTATTATAGGAATGATCCAGTTATGTACAAGCAGAAATTTTCGATATCTGAGTGGAGTAAGCTTGTCACAAGTTTCCCAAATAATGTTCCCCTTGCTCATATTCCAACAGTGAACAATCAGAAGTACATTGTTAATGTTCGATCTTCCAGTAAAAGTGCAAAATGCGCGGTTTGCAAGAACGAGCTGGTCAATGGAGCTGTTCAAGTTGTAACTGAAGGTCCATATAGAACAATACATCGTCAATGGGTTACACGTACTTTTTTCTGTGCGGCCAAAAAGTGTATAACAAAGATTCCTAGAAATTCGTACATCAGACCGTATTGTCCATCAACCATGCCACTCCATTATGACACCGGATTGACATTAGAGCAAAGAAATTTAATTGCCATTTCGTGAAATTTGTAGACGATTTAATATTTTCCGTGCTAAATAATATGCTTGAAAAATTTCTTGATTCTGATTAAGGCTAAGAGGAGTGCATTCTTTCCAAATACAGTGCCAACAGACGAAATGTCCGAAAATTGCACTGTATTATCTTTGTTGGCAATGTTCTTCTTTTCTTATTTATTTGATATAGAAGAATTCTTGTACAGTTTAATCCACTTTCAGCTGGCTGGAAAATCCTTTTTCTGTTGTGACTTGATTCGATCAAATGGGGGAATACCTAGAATTATTCAGTTCATGTATATTATTATAAGTAGTATTTATGGCTTCTTGTGAAAAACAAGCACTCGTGAGTTTTCCTTTGGATTCGTGTGATTTTGATAGTCTTTGAAAAGCACACTCGTGCATGTTTTTTCCAAATCACACTCAAAACCACACTATTACGTAAACAAAAGAAAATTATGAATTGTACGGTATATATCGTACTGTAAAAACGTCAGTACACAATAGACAACTTGCAGGTTAGACTATTTTTTTATCTAGGCAAAAAAGTAATTCCTTTAATTAAAGAACTTATTAAAATTAATAAAATTGCAAAAATTTGGTTACGAAATGTTGTAAAATACGGAAAATACATGAGTTGGCATATTTCCTGTAGTTTAAATTGGGTTCTTGATTATATTTATAGTTCGTTTCTGAATTTTGTGTATTTTTTACTAATATACAGTCTTCCATTTTACTCGTTAATTAAATTAGCTTTTTAAATAATTTTAAATACGATTCGCATGGCTCGCACCCTGGCTCGCACCCTGGTTGCATGGCTCGCACTCTGGATCGCATGGCTCGCACCATGGCTCGCATGCTCGCACAATATTGAAACTCATATTAGTGAATGTATTAGGACATCTGAAGGGCGTTAACTTCCCATTTCCCCCCACCTACCATGCAGGGCTTTTGTCATCTTCACTAAGAAGTACATAATCTTTATGATAGAAAAATCAAGTTGAAACAGTTGGACAAGTTGAAATTAATTGCCATGTGTTATTTGCTTTCTTTAATTTCGCAGGTTAGATGCGGGCACAATGTAAACAACTGATGTAAACTAATCGCTGATTGGCTTAAATTGGCTTAAATTATATAAGCTTGTTGCTGAATGACTACGTGTTAACATACAGTAACAGTATGGTACAGTACGTTTGCGATAGCATATATATCTGCTTCGCAGATACAAAAACAATTCTTGATAGTTTTTTTAGTATAGGGCTATATTTGGCACCGGGGGTAATTGTTAGGAAAATGTCTTTTTGGACTGCTTTGAGGCATGTTTGTTGGTTTGTGTATAATAAACACATAAAAATTTTAAGTTCCTTGGCCATGTGGGAAAGAAGAGAATACTGCGCATGCTCTAGCAGCCCGTAAGCTCGCAAAGGATCATAATTAATGTTATATGAAATATCGCGTGTTATCCAAAATCAGTGTTATATGAAAAATCGTGTTATCCAAAATTTATAGTGTTATATGAAAAATTGTGTTATCCACAATTAGTGTTATATGAAAAATGTTTTGTTTTACCCCCAGCATGAATGGACAACTGCTTCATAAAACCAAGTCGACTCTGCTCCAATATGGAAGTGGGAAACAGCAGCAGCTACAGCACATCGCACTGCTTTGCAGCCATGTTGTTTATGCTTTGGATACCTAGCCCAAGCTGGAGCATTCAAACGGCCATTTTGGTTTTCAGTAGTGTCAAGAACACACCTTTGAAGCAACTCTGTTAGTCTAAGAGAAATGACCCACACATCCGATTTCATCTTCCAAAGTTAAATTTCCTAAACAAATGTTCATTAACATTTTTAAAACTTAATTTATTTATTAAACATTCTCTGACTAAATATTTATTTCTACGAGCTTTCGGCTATCAGTCTATAGCCTTCGACGGGTGTATACAAATGATTCTATAAAGGACGCTAAACTTAAGTAGGTGGTATGAAATATGAGACTGTCTATGCTACGTTACAAATGAGGAATATAAATATTTAATTAATGCTTCTTGAGTTCCTTTCTTAAAAGTATTGTGTATTGTGCTAGAAGCGTATTAGAGTTATTATCAGCTTGGTCTGTTAGTGCAGTGTGCCAGGACTCTAAGGTTTTAAGGTTCCTATGATTTCCCTTGTCTATTACTTTAGCATTGGCAAAGTCAATAATATGATCTTGAGTCCATGCGTGTTTCGCGACATTCGACCCCTTCTTGCTTTGTTTCACATTCCTCACGTGTTCGGACTTTCTCATCTTCAGGGATCTTCCTGTTTCGCCTATGTAGCTCCAACTGCAATCTTGACACGGTATCTGGTAGACCACGTTCTTCTGCTCTTCTGTTGGTGGTTTCTGTTTTGCAGATGGGAATTGGCGTTCGAGGGTTTTCATTGGCTTATTATAAACTTTAATGTCATGTTTTTGGAGTGTTCTGGCTAGAGGTTCGGTTAGTCCTTTGATATATGGTAGAACCGCAATTCCTGCAGATGGTGCCTTTCCTTCAACCAGTTCGAAAAATGACCGCACTAACTCTTCAGGACTTGCTACAGTTTTGTTCTTATGTTGTTTTTTTCCCGTTCATTCATTCATTTCGTTCATTCATTTCGTTCATTCTAAAGTTCACTCATTATGCTCTTGAAAATGGTTGGTTCCCGAAGTCTTTACGTTTCAATCCTCCTGGCAATAATGTTATATTCAAGAAGATAATGGAAAGAGCAAGCAAACATTGCATGAAAGCAAGAATTTCTATTTGTCATAGCCAAATCAACTCAATCAAGAAACGAATGCATCACTCACACCAGAATAGAACTTACATCAATCCTACCCGTAGATACATTCAAGAACTTGAACGAATTCTTGAAACAACGTGCACAGTCTGTCCGCGACAGCATCAACACAAGACATGCCAAGAAACATTCTAATTTGAACAATGAATATAGCAAAGAAACGAATGCCACAATGAATACATCCGTGATTAACCTATCAAAGAAACCTCTTACCGACGCAGAACGCTCCCTTCTTGAAAAAGGACCGAAGTTCGCCATCACACCTGCAAAGATTCCACACAAAAACATCATTGCGGAAGTTGAAACAGCGATCAAAAATCTACCAGACGAAACTAAAGACATTATACGGACAAATACAGCTTCCATCTTAGACCGAGCACGCATCCCTCCACACAAAAATGTAAACATCAACGAAAGAAAAGCGCTGAAAGACCTGAAACAGGACACGACAAGAATCATCATGAAAGCTGACAAAGGTAACAGTTTAGTCATCATGGACCGAGACGAGTATGACAAGAAGATGGAAAACCTATTGGAAGATGAAACGACCTATGCTATCATACCTAAGCCACCATTCAAACGAGTAGAACGAGAGTTAAATGCCATGCTGCTTAACCTAAAGAATCAAGAGAAAATTCCCGAGAATACCTACCGTAAGCTACACTCAAGTGACGCAATCCCTCCAGCCATCAGAGGTTCCATCAAGCATCACAAAGTAGGTTACCCACTAAGACCTATAGTTACATGTATCGACTCAGCTCTTTACGAAACTTCCAAATTCCTTACAAAAATTCTTTCTCCACTACAAAACAAAAACGGTTTCTCAGTAGCTAACTCTACTCAATTCAAAAACGAAATTTCCAACATTACCATAGACGAAGACGAATCTATGATTTCATTTGACGTCGTTTCACTTTTTACAGCCATTCCTGTTGATAAAGCGTGCAAATATATTAGAACGAAATTAGAAAACGACCCGACACTTCCGGACAGAACTCAACTTGACATTGACGACATTATTCGACTTTTATCTTTTGTTTTATCTAACAGTTTTTTCGTTTACAACAACAACACCTACAAACAAATCCATGGATGTGCCATGGGCAGCCCCGTTAGCGCGATTGTTGCTAACTTGTGCATGGAAGTGATAGAAGAACAGGCCATCCGAGACGCAACATCACCACCTAAAGTTTGGAAACGTTTTGTAGACGATTGTTTTTCCATAATAAAAAAGACTAACATATCATCTTTTCATGACACACTAAACTCCATTGACCCACACATTGACTTCACTATCGAAAACGAAAAGGACGGAAAGATCGCTTTCCTTGACACATTAGTTTCTAGAAACGACGGCTTAATTTTTATTGACGTTTACCGCAAACCTACTCACACATGCAGACAGTTACTTAAACTACCTATCACACCACGACCAAAAGCATAAAATTAGTACTGCAACAACACTTATCAACCGATCCTTGTCACTTCCTACCACTAACGAAAGCAAAGAAAGAGAACTAAATCATGTAACCACAGTCCTGACATCAAATGGTTATCCGAAGAAATTAATCTCAGGATTAATAAAAAAACATAAGAACAAAACTGTAGCAAGTCCTGAAGAGTTAGTGCGGTCATTTTTCGAACTGGTTGAAGGAAAGGCGCCATCTGCAGGAATTGCGGTTCTACCATATATCAAAGGACTAACCGAACCTCTAGCCAGAACACTCCAAAAACATGACATTAAAGTTTATAATAAGCCAATGAAAACCCTCGAACGCCAATTCCCATCTGCAAAACAGAAACCACCAACAGAAGAGCAGAAGAACGTGGTCTACCAGATACCGTGTCAAGATTGCAGTTGGAGCTACATAGGCGAAACAGGAAGATCCCTGAAGACGAGAAAGTCCGAACACGTGAGGAATGTGAAACAAAGCAAGAAGGGGTCGAATGTCGCGAAACACGCATGGACTCAAGATCATATTATTGACTTTGCCAATGCTAAAGTAATAGACAAGGGAAATCATAGGAACCTTAAAACCTTAGAGTCCTGGCACACTGCACTAACAGACCAAGCTGATAATAACTCTAATACGCTTCCAGCACAATACACAATACTTTTAAGAAAGGAACTCAAGAAACATTAATTAAATATTTATATTCCTCATTTGTAACATAGCATAGATAGTCTCATATTTCATACCACCTACTTAAGTTTAGCGTCCTTTATAGAATCATTTGTATAGACTGATAGCCGAAAGCTCGTAGAAATAAATATTTAGTCAGAGAACGTTTAATAAATAAATTATGTCATTACTTAGCTCAAATGTGTGTGGGTGTTATTATTTATTCTTTTTTCTTCTGTGCGGTACTGGTCCCCCCTAGCATTTTATTGTTTCTTTGTTTTAGCTCGTCCAACGCTTGGCCTCTATACTCTGGTTGCTGCCGTAACTCCGCTAGTCCTCGAGGAGTTTACTCGGGAATTAGCTGCCTATCCCCTGTCCAAAAGGCGCTATGTCTTAGACGGGATTCGGTTGTGCTTTCGTGTAGGTCGGGAGCCTGATAGGGTATCTTTGCGTTCTCGGACGTCTAATACGCGCTCTGCCTCTGACCATCCAGACGTCGTGGATGCTTACCTTGTCCTCAGAGTTAGCGGCCAGGAGCGTGGCAGGCCCGTTTACCAGCCCTCCGTTTCCGCTCCTTCATGTCAGCCCCTTTGGTGTCATCCCCAAGAATCACCAGCCTCGCAAGTGGCGCCTTATCCGAGATCTGTCCTCGCCGGCTGGTCACAGTGTCATCCGATGCGTCAGGTTCCTGCGGTTTTGGGGCCCTATGGCGCACGCAGTGGTTTTGCAGCTCTTGGGTTTTTTTTTTCTCTCTACGCGCATGTCCATTGCCTTCCTGGAGTTGGTTCCCATCGTCGTCGCGGGGCCATGCGTGGTCTCGCCTTCGCTTTCAGTTTTTGTGCGACAATATGGCGATTGTTAATGTCCTCAATTCTGGCACGTCCAAGTCGCACGACATCATGCATTTGTTGCGCTTATTCACGCTTGAAGCCTGCCGCCATAATTTTGTTTTCTTGGCTGCCCACACCCCTGCCAGGGATAATTCTGCCGCTGATGCCTTGTCTCGTTTGCGCCTACAGGAGTTTCGTCGTGTGGCCCCTCGTTCCGATCTACTCCCCCTTCCAATCCCACCGTCGCTGTTGTCGCGCCTGGTCCCGCCTGCTTGATCAACCAGTGTTTTGGTTTCTTGGCCCAAGGTTTGGGTCCATCCACTCGCCGTGGGCAACGCGCCTATTTCCAGTTTTGTTCGACTTTTGACCTCCCGTCTTTTCCGTCGTCGGAATGGCTGTTGATATTATTTGCGACCTGGCTTGCTCAGACTCGGAATTTAGCTCCGTCTTCTGTCTCGTCGTATATTGCTGCTGTCCGTTCTTGGGACATTGACCTTGGCACACCAGATCCCACCCGCGGGGCGACCAGATTGGCCAGATTGTTACGTGGCATCCGCCGCTCTCGTTCTTCGCCTGCATTGACACGTCTTCCTGTTACCAATCGACTGATGGATGTACTCCAGTCGGCGCTCTCCGCTCCGGGGTTTGACCATGTGATGTTTTGGGCTGCATGTTGCACTGCTTTTTTCGGTTTTCTACGTGTTAGCGAGTTTACCTGTCCCGGTGTCTACGGCCCTTCACGTCATTTGTCTTTAAGCGACATTCACTGGGATGCTGGGGGACACTATCGCCTGTTTTTAAAAACGTCCAAAACGGATCCTTTTCACCAGGGATGCACGATCTTAATTGGACCTTCGGGTCACCAGATTTGTCCCGTTGCTGCGCTGTCTCGGTATTTGGCCATCCGCGGTTCGTTCCCTGGTCCTTTGTTTTTGTGCGTCACTGGTGCGCCTCTGGCCCCGTCTGTGGTTAAGGCTTGGCTCCGCTTCATTCTCAAGGCTGCAGGTGTTCCTGGGAATTATTCTAGCCACAGTCTTCGTATTGGTGCGGCTACTTCGGCCGCTTTGGCGGGTGTTCCGGACCATGTTATCAAGATTTTGGGTCGTTGGTCCAGTGATTGCTCCTTGCGCAATATTCGGACACCTCCCCACATCATTCTCCAAACTGCTCGTCACATTGAAACTTGTTTGGGGTTGGGGAACGCCTTTGGGGTGGGTTCGTGTCCTCGAATCCCCTTCTCCAGCTGCGCTGGAGGGTGCTCCAGCTGCGCTGGAGGGTGCTCCAGCTGCGCTGGAGGGTGCTCCAACTGCGCTGGAGGGTGCTCCAGCTGCGCTGGAGGGTGGCGTTGGAGAGGCTAATTCTCGGCATCATTGATATTAGTCAAGTCGGGATGCTGGGATGGCTGAAAGTCTCTTCTACCGAGAAGACAGCTGCGCAGAATGGAGTTCATCCGCAGAATGGAGTTCATCCGGCTTGCCGAGTAAACTAAGCAGCTGGAACCTCTCCAACAGAGCTACACCCTCCAGAGAATTGTTTGCTTAAGCTCGAGTGCGTTAGATGTTAAATGTGTTTATGCAATAAAAATAATTAACATCAAGCACGAGTTGTGATGTGGGTCGTTAAAATATGTAATTTATGCATTGTTCAATTTCATTGACCAATCAGAAGCTGTCTGTTGTTAGTGGGTGAGAATTTGCCATTTGCCGTGCTCACGGGCTGTGCTCACTTGCGTATGCTTCTCACACTGTGCACTTGATTTCCCGACCACCCACCCACCCGATAGTGATTCTCCCCGGCCTGCGTTGGCACTGCCTGTGGTGGCGTCGGCTGCTTGCCAGGTTTTGTTTTCAGGCTGCTTGCCTGCGCTCGCTGGCTGCTTGCCGCCCTACCTCCGGCTGCTTGCCGGCCCCTTGGGCTGCCTGCCCCCCCTCTGACTGTTTGCTCGATCTCGGACTATTGACCCCTCCCCGTCCGGCTGCTTGCTGGGTGTTCGGCTGCTTGCCGATGTGTGTATCTATGCATCAGCATATTTAATTTCGTGAATTGTTCGTCTGCTTGTACGTTCGTTTGTCCCCTCACCATGAGTCCTTATGTTTGTCAGTGAAGCGCTTATTGTCTGTTGTGTGTGTCTTTGGCACAGCGTAAATGGTGGGGGTAGTCCTTTTGTCAACCTTGCTAGCAATGTCTGGTGTTGTGTTCGTTATTTGCATTATGCCGCACCCGCTCGTCGTGCTTGCTCCCCGGCTAGTCCGGGTGATTTCTTTCTAGATTGGTATCCAGCGTTCTTTGGTTTCTCTTTGGTCGGTAGGTGCATATAGTTCGTTGTGCTCGGCTTAGTATGCTTACCAGGTAAGATGTCTCGTAAGTTCATGTTACTATTCGTTCGGTGTTTTTTATTAATTCCGTCTCCACCTGTGATGTGACGTTAGCTCTGTCCTTGGAGAGGCTAATTCTCGGCATCATTGATATTAGTCAAGTCGAGATGCTGGGATGGCTGAAAGTCTCTTCTACCGAGAAGACAGCTGCGCAGAATGGAGTTCATCGTAAGCCGGCTTGCCGAGTAAACTAAGCAGCCGGAACCTCTCCAACAGAGCTACGCCCTCCAGAGAATTGCTTGCTTAAGCTCGAGTGCTTTAGATGTTAATATACCTCAAATTCAAATTGTCCAATGAAAAAACAGCATTCGTACCACGTGATAATGTGATTTTTTACGGTATGTCACTCAAATTCATGATTTCGCAATGCAGCGTGAGATACTATAATATCCCATGGCAGATCCACCGTGGGATATTATAGTATCCCACGCGTGACGCGGGGACACCACGCTCTGAAACAATATGGCGTTCGGGAGCTGTTGTTTGTAATTTCGTACAGAAGACGTATGTTACCTTTAATGATCCAAAGGATACATGCTCAAAATTTTAAAGAGGAAACATCAAAAACTCAGATATACATAAGAAAATAAAAATTGTACTCGGGGCAAAGCCTCTCGGAAAATATCATCACTTCGGGAAATATTACATGATAAGTAATAGATAATAAGTATCCAGCGATTTTACGCCTGCAATTTTTCAGTAAAAATCTAATCCATAGATTTACCTTCAACTGCGCAGTGTTAATACTTAGCTTCACCTAAAATAAAACAGGATGTCAGTTATTTTATACATAAAGTCATATAAGTAACATGCACGTGTGAGTCACGAAATGTCGGGGAGTACTAAATACCATAAAGATACAATCATGATATCCTTACTTCAAAATCTGTTTCACTCTCTAAGTGAGATCGTCAGGTTAATGAAACTACTTGATGTTTCAATTAACCATTTCATGATTGAAGTATTTCTTCGTCAGGTTAATGAAACTACCTGATGTTTCAATTAACCATCACATGATTGAAGTATTTCTAACAGTAACTTACATGTATATTGCACACTGTCTAAGTTCAGGCTATTTATCTTAACAACAAATGTGGTATTACTTTTCTAATACATTCCCCGTGGAAGAAACCGGAACCTCCGGAGAAAACTCACTGATTTTCTCTTGTCACGTGAAGTATTGAGTTAGGAATTGAACCCATGACCTCACAGATGAATGGCTGTTCTAATAACTGTGCCACCTTTCCGTTGAAAACCTCGTACTCTAACAAGTGACGTTTCTGTCAACACGGACGTCACCCAAAAATTGGTCCCTTCTTCAGATCGCTATTTTCTGCTGGACCTCGGTTCATTATTAAAGTACTGCATAACGTTCTTCACTGTAAATATTTATTCCGAGATTGTTCCTTTTCAGCCACACAGTAGGATTCACTCTTTGCTGGTTTTGGCGACGTTTGCAAGTCATTGTGGGAGCAATGAAAATTTACAAACTGTGATAGTTACCAATTCTCTGGCAATACAGACTTTGTGTGAGGAAGGGAATATCCATGCTGCTGAACTGTTGCAGAACGAGTGCGAGGAGATCATATCAAGACTAGGTGAAGAGTGTCGAGCGATCAACAGATACGTATTTTCTGTTGCCAAAAGTCAGCTGTTTCTGTGCAAAGGATTGGTAAGATGTGATTTAATATTATCCCACGTTTTATTTGTTAGTTTTCATTTGCTTTAGATACTTTTCGCGCATATAAACGGTTAAATTAACGCTGATTTTGTTTCCGGTTCCGGTCCTAACTTAAAATATTGATTTCAGTACACCCCTAATATTTGTGTCAATGAAGAAAATGAAAAAATATCCTTTCCGTTGTCAAAAGCTTTGTCTATTTTAATCTTCGTCTAAAGAATGAAAACAATTGCTTTATACGACCAAGCATAGCTTTCATTGTAAAAATGTTTTTGAGGCTAAGTTATGAAACCAAGAATTATGGTCATGTATTTTCGACCTTTGGAATTTTTAGAGTAATAATAAACTAGCGTCCCCAACAGTGTCGAAAATGTAACTTGTATTATCCAAATGGAGTTCCAACTAGTTTCTGAATGTCCCCAATCAGGAATGAAACCAAAGTCTCTGTCCAACTATTGGGTGATAGAGGCACACATAATTGTATGTATAGCTCAACGCTGTATATTCAATCCACTTTATATACGATGAGCTTACACATAAGATTATGGGATGATGTTTTGCTGACCAAGCCTGAAATGAATATTGTTTGTAAACTTGTCTTCAATACAGCGAGCAATACAGCGTGGGAATTGTAGCTTGTGTTGTCCTCTTCCACTTTTCCTCAAGTGATCTGACTCCATTAGCGTATATTTTTTCAGTACAACGAGGGATGGCAACTTGTTAAAGCTGTTCTAGATGAGGCGAAGGGAAATGTGGGAACCACAACAAAGTTTGTGCTTGTGAAAGCCAAGTTATTGTGTGTGAGATATTTATCACTTCCAACTTCAGTATTCAAAGCAAGTCTTGAAGGTTTGTGTCTTGTTCTGTACTATAAATTCATTTCTGCACGATATTAAAAAAAACCTGACTGGATCCAAATTTTCCGGTTAAGACTAGTTTTTCTGTTTAACAGTTTGACTGATCTGACCATACACCTTAAGTAACTTCTTATGTTTCTATTTTTAAGATGCTGATGGTTCCAACTATTTTGACTATTTATCGGATTCAATGAAGTATGCAGAGGCTCTAGTGAAACATTTTGTCGAAAATGGCGCAGAGGTTGAAGGTAATGATCGCATTTTTTACAGTTTGTTGCCCAACTATATACACACTCTGTAAATTCGGTGTTAATCAAGCTCGAACATTTATCAACCATCATTCAATTCTCAACTACTGCAAGTTTATACATGGCCATAGCATTATAAAGTTAAGTTAATGAAACAAGCATCCGGACAAAACTTGTGGGCAAAAGGAAAGTTGTGCAAAGTCTCCTGTGCTCCCAAAGGTCACCCTCAACCCCATAGCCTCACACAAATCAATGTATTACACAATGTATTTTAAAGTAAACAATGACCATCACGGGGACCTTACCCCTTGGGTAAAGTCCAACATGGGGGAACCACGACCCCCTGAGGACATATAATTATACTAGAAATACATGCATGCAACAACCCCTCGCCAATATTTTCCAAACATTGTTTCAACAATCAACATGAAGTATTCGTAATTACGCCAACACTGAACGCAGGCTCGCGTTGCCACGTCATGTAATCATGTTAGCCATGGCAACACGATAAATAATATACGATTTTTTAAATTTTTTTGTACAAAACTGCAAAAAATAAATGAAACTTGAACACTTTTAAATACAGAACTATCAATTTCTAAAATATATAAAGTAGGTATATTATTTTGCTTTCTATAGGCTTTATTTTAATGTAAAATTCCACACGAAACTCTTCGTAAAACGTTTTTAAATGTGAATCGAAATTAACTTTTTTTGCCGATAAACTTTTCAACAAAAGTTAAAAAATTAAGAAAACTAATCATAATCACAATGCTTTAATAATGAGTCTGTGGGGCGACACCTAGAATTTTACATTCCTGCAATTTGTAGCTTATGGCTTCACTTAATTGCATTTGATACTCGACTACATTTGATACTCGGCTACTTTACTCTACTCTACTCTACTCTACCCCACTCTACTCTACTCTACTCCTCACGATCAACATTTGCAACTATACAGTTACGTATTTTTTGTCTTGTAATTACCTAATTATATCCATAGTATATGCCAACAGAGTTCTTAGAATACTCCAGATTTTTATCTCTGACCAGGTATAATTCTCACGCCTCTATTCTAACGCCTGGTTCAGTCTGAGCTTCCCATGAGTGTCAGTGCTGTTTTTGAATAGCTGGAGGGTTAGTGTCGTACCTTACTATGTGACTACTCACCCTCCAGGTATTCAAAACAGCATTGACACTCAAGGGAAGCTCAAATTCAACCTCCACTCTTTGAGTGTGAGCTTTACAGGCGTTAGAAGTACACCGATTCCTGGAAAGTGCTGGAACGTTGTAGTATACCAATAATTGTCGTTATTTTACTTCTCTCACTTACAGGCTTGAACAATCAGAAGAAAGAACGTGCAGTTTTCTTATCTCATTGGTCTCTGCTAAGTGAACTGTCTTGTTGTTTTGTTAAACTCGGCAAAGTTTACTTGCTTCAAGGAGCTGTAAGAGAAGCAAAACTTTTTCTTCAAGATGGCAGGGAGATCACACGACGATTTTTGTCTGCAAACAGGTGGCTTCCTGCATTTTATGTATTATTATTAACTACTTTTCTTTTAAAGGCTCGTTTACACTTGCAATTTTTACTGCGATTTTGTACTTCTGATGCATGTGAACGAGTAAATAAGTTTTGAATGTTCTGAGTATATGTCACACTGATGTCCCCTCATCTAAACATTCGTAACTCATCCACTCGTTCACATACATCAGAAGGAGAAAATCGCACCTAAAATGGCGCCTTAAGGACACTCCAAACCTCAACATAAAAAATTTCTTACTATAAAACCATAAATCAAGCAGATGCGCAAACAAACAAACAAACAAACAAACAAACAAACAAACAAACAAACAAACAAACAAACAAACAAACAAACAAACAAACAAACAAACAAACAAACAAACAAACAAACAAACAAACAAACAAAAGTAGTAATATAGGGGCCGATCGATCCGGATTTTTGTGGTGGTGGTTGTGGTGGTGGTTGTGGTGGTGTGTGGTGGAGGGTGTCCACCACCTCATTTATAATTAATACTCGTACAAATGAGGGTGCGTAGTGACGTCACTCATTAACATACGTCATAATTATATGCAATGACGTCACGCGGGCGAGCTTAAACACGATCGGGCGAAACTTGCTGACTACGCATTTTTTAGCGTCTCTCCGCGTGTATGATACAAAAGAGGGATTATAGGGGCCGATCGATCCGGATTTTTGTTGTGGTGTGTGGTGGTGGTTGTGGTGGTGGTGTGTGGTGGTGGGTGTCCACCACCTCATTTATAATTAATACTCGTACAAATGAGGGTGCGTAGTGACGTCACTCATTAACATACGTCATAATTATATGCAATGACGTCACGCGGGCGAGCTTAAACACGATCGGGCGAAACTTGCTGACTAAGCATTTTTTAGCGTCCCTCCACGTGTATGATACAATAGTTAGGGCTATACACAAGAGAATATGTTGTTGTCTGGAGTTTTATAAGTACAGCTCTGGCATTTTGCTGTTATTGTCAAGTGATTCCTTTAATTTAGCTCTTAGAGGAGTAAAAAATCTGATACTATATGAAATAGCATTAGTGTTATATATCTAAAACTTATATATTCGGGGTATTGTTGAAGCCATGACTTTAGAACACCGTATTTGTAATGAAATCACTCTTTATTTTCACGTTTATTACAAATGTAGTTTTGTACAGTAAGTTGCTTTCACGAGAAAGTTCAACTAACAACACAACAATCCCATCATGCATTTGTCTCTCAGTATTACGTCATACTAATATTTGGATAACATACAGTTTTATATTGAACTCAACACCCTCACTTGTTATCAGAATATAAACTAATTACCACAACCGAACACGATACTTTTAAAATTATTTAGTTTACATTTTGTGGGTGGCTTTGTTAGGATATCAGCTACCATATCTTGGGTAGGACAATATACAATATCGATCATGCCTTTAACATACATTTCACGTACAAAGTGGTACTTTATGTCAATATGCTTAGAACGTTGTCTGTTAACTGGGTTCTTACTTAGTGCAATTGCCCCTTGGTTATCAACACTTACCTTCATACTCTGATGTACTTTCTTATACATACCGTTTAACAATTGAGTTAGATACAAACACTCTTGAGCTGTATTTGCTAAAGCTACATATTCAGCTTCGCAAGTGGAAATGGCAACCGTTGGTTGCTTTCTCGACTTCCATGAAATCAGTGGTCCTCCTTCAATTAGAGTACAACAGTAACCTGTAGTACTTCGCCTGTCTTCCAGGCAAGAGGCCCAATCTGAATCACTATAAGCAGTGAGCTGCAAGTCAGCACCAGATTTCTTAAAGCAGAGTTCATAATCCACGGTACCCTTTAGATACCTTAGGACATGTTTGGCAGCAATTAAATCTCCCGTTCTGGGGTTTGACAGAGTTTGAGACAGTCTGCTTACAATCCAACTTAAATCAGGCCTTGTACAGGTCATGGCATAAATTAGGCTTCCTATCATTTCTCTATACTGTCTGGCGTTGGTCAATTCACCACAGTTAAATTCTAATCGTTGCTCACATGGGGTTAACCTGGGCTTGCAGTCTATCATTCCAAATCTCTCTAGTATTTTAAGAATGAATCTTTTCTGATTAATTTTTATTTCACCCTTGCTTTGCTTAAAATCCATTCCAAGGAAGAAAGTGATTCTACCTAGATCTTTCATCTTAAATTGTGTCTTCATACTTTCTTTAAATTCTTCCATTAACTGCATACTATCTGAAGCTATGATTAGGTCATACCCTTTACCTGACTGTAACCTATACCCTTTACCTGGCTGTAACCCTTCGCTACATATCTGGCCTTAAAGGACTCTATGCCATTCTGATCTTGTTTGGTTGTGTACACCCATTTTCCCCCTACTGAAGCTTTACCTTCTGGTAAAGTTGATAATTCGTAAGTATCATTTTCCTTCAGAGAGCTGATCTCTTCCTTCATTGCTTGCTCCCACTCCCTAGCTTGAGGTGATCCCATGGCTTCTGTGTAATTTTGTGGTAATCCACAAACTTTGTAGCAGTAATCTACACTAATGTGGGCACAATCGGCATTCTTAGGGAGGAGGGTGTCCTCTTCTAAGTATCTTGGAGGGTTCCTTTCTCTTTGAGGATACCGTTTTGTCTCACTGTCATTCTCAGTATGGTTGCAATGTCTTCCCTCACTATCCCTAGGCTCCTCATCAGGCACTGTATTTGGCGGCATTGCACTTAAAACAGGGAGGCTCATACTATCTAAGTCTGATCTAGTATCATGGTCAGATTTCTCATATACATCACAATCCCTGCTGGACTCATCAGTTTGTGTGTGCTGTTCTACACTACATTTCTTGATGAATCTAATGAGTCGATGTTTCATGATTTTCCCATTTTGTGGGTAGTACACTAGGTAAGAAGGGCTATTTTTGTCGTATCCCACAAATACCCCCTTGCTGCATCTTGAGTCTAATTTCTTATGCTCCTGTTCGTAAGCAAAACATTCAGATCCAAAGATCCACATTTTAGAAAGATCAGGTACTTTCCCAGTAAGGCTAAAGTAGGGTGTTGTCTTTGTTCTCTTACTAAAACATCTATTCCTAATGTGAGCTGCGGTTTGAATTGCATAGGGCCAGAGAGTTTTGGGTAACCCTGATTCAAGAAGAAGACATCTGCCCATTTCGAACAATGTGCGCCAGTGCCTTTCAGCGGTGCCATTCTGGTGTGGCGAGTAGGGAGCAGAAGTTTCATGTTTTATGCCACGCTCCCTTAGTAGTGTTTGAAACGCCTTACCTGTAAATTCTGAGCCATTGTTAGAACGGATGCAACTTACCTTGCCATAAGGAGTGATGTCTGCTAGAAATTTCTCTGTTGCTACAAAGGTGTCACTTTTACATTTCAGAAAGTAAACAAATACTGCTCCTGAGAAATCGTCAGTAAAAGCTATGCAGTACTTAAACCCCTCTCTTGATACAGGAGAAACTGGACCTGCCAAATCCACATGCACTTTCTCCAATGATTTTTGAGATCTTGCATCAGGAATCCTACTCCTGCTGTTTACAAATTTTCCTTCTACACATGTATTACAACCTAACTTAGATGACCCAATTTTACCTGAGAATTTCATGCCCTTAACTACCCCCTGTAGTTTTATAATATCTTCAAAATTGCAGTGACCTAGGATTTCATGCCATGTGTTAATATCATATGAGAGATTTACTTTATCTACTTCACTTACGCTATCGTTCTCATGACTGTCTATGGAAGTCAAATAGTACAACCGTCCATGTTCTTCAATTTCAACAATGGTACCATCTTCAAGGGTTAGCTCACCAGTATCTTGGGCAAATCGAAGCTCGGCGCCATTTGATGTGGCTGCCTTCACCGAGAAAATATCTTGAGGATAGGATGGTATATATAAGGCGTTTTTCAGCACCGTTTGCACACATTTTCCATTTGTATCTTTCAGAAACACTTCAGCATCCCCTCGTTTCAATGCAATATTACTGGCTCGTGTGCCATCAGCCAGTTCAATGTAATGTTTTGATGGTTTAAATGTCATGTCTATTTGCTTTAAAATATCAGTAGTAACAATGTGAGAAGTGGCACCTGTGTCAACCAACATTCCCATTCGATTGATTTTCCCTGTTGCTTCGTCGTTAACTTTGAATGCAAATGAATGTTCATCTTTAGAGGTGTTTTCTTTCTCCGACACCTGTTTGGTTTGGTCTTTGCTCTTTTGCTGACTTCTGCAGGTGCTATCCGAGTGTGTTGTACTTTTGTGATAGTTACACCACTTCTTCTCGCTCTTAGCAGGGCACTCTCTGACTAAATGCCCTCTTTTCCCGCAGCCATAACATGTCATTGTTTGCGAAGGAAACTCAGCTTTCATTATCTGATCAACTTTCGGTTTGGTGTTGAGCTTTTCCGTTTCTTCGAAGCTCCTCAACATGCTCTTAAACTTCGCTAACGTTATCTCACTTGCACTTTGGGTCACATGTATCCAGAACGGTTTATATGAATCAGGCAGCCCCTTTAAGATCATAGCAATTATTAGCCCATCGCTTAACGTTTCTTTGGCGTTCTTAAGCGCTGTTATTGCTTTCTCGGCTCTTATTAAGTAATCTGTGACTGTCTCGTGAAGTGATTTTTCAAGTGACGTTAGCTCAGTGTAGAGTGTGATGATTCTTGGTTTGCCTTGATTTGCATAATGGTCTCGGAGTATTTGTAAAGCCTTTCGGCCATCGTCGGTAGCATCCCTCATTACCAATGACAGACTGGTGTCATCCAAACACTGTATAAGCTCGGCGTAGCATTCTTCGTTCTTTGTTGCGTCAGCCTCTTCTTCTGACGGCAGGATAGTATCCTTTAGTTTTAATAACCTCATGTGCGCGAGGAATTTCGCTTCCCACAGTTCGTAATTGCTTTCGTTTCCATCGAAAGTCAACCTTGACCAGCGTGATTCTCTGCTGGGCCCATACCCTGTTGAAGCCATGACTTTAGAACACCGTATTTGTAATGAAATCACTCTTTATTTTCACGTTTATTACAAATGTAGTTTTGTACAGTAAGTTACTTTCACGAGGAAGTTCAACCAACAACACAACAATCCCATCATGCATTTGTCTCTCAGTATTACGTCATACTAATATTTGGATAACATACAGTTTTATATTGAACTCAACAATTAGCCAATATTGCCCGACTGTGAAGCGAATATTGCCCGACTGGCTTTGTTTGCCCAACAAACTGGGGAGGCTGCCGCCCCCTCCGCCCCCCCCCCCGCCCGGTACATCCATGCTGGTGGTCAATTGTATCGACCCCTTTTTAATGTCTAAAAATATAACCCCATTAATTAAACCTTGGTCCATTGCCTTTAGCCACATTTCTGTTGATTGAAGTAGTGATGTTTCAGTGGGACGAAAACCTGATTGGTTGTTAACAATTATATCATTGTGGTCTAGAAAGGTATTTAGTTGTTTTTCAAATATTTTTGCGATGCTGGAAATTACTGATACTGGTCTATAGTTTTCACAAAGCGTATAGTCATCAGTTTTATTTATTGGAGTTACCTTTGCAAGTTTCCAATCATCAGGAAATATTCCTGTTTCAAGTGATTGGTTAAATATATATATACAAGTGATTAAAATATTGTCTCATCAGCCTGTTTCACAAGCTTAGCTGAAATTAATGATTTGCCTCCTGACCTATGTGTTTAACCCACCCTGTCAACCTGGAGAATGATCCACAACTTTCGGTACAGCGTTGACTTTACTCTTTTCACACGAGGACTGGGTTCAAGTCACAATGAGAAGTTCTCACTGAGATTTGAACCTGCGACCTTAAGGCCGTTTTCCACTAGGCAGAATTTGCCGCGCCGAGCGGAATTTCTCTTTGTATTTTCTAATTAGTTCCACCCGAGAAATCAGAAGACAAAGAAAAATTCCGACTAGTGGAAAACTATGCAGAAAATTTATGCGGAAAATTCCCCCTAGTGGAAAACGGCCTTTCGAGGTGAATGGCAATTGCGCTGACCACTTCACCACAGAATCCAAAAATCAAATGCTAAAATAAAGGCGATTTTGGTCAAAAACGTTTAAATTTTTCTTTATATCAGGAAAGAAGTGCCGTCTTAACCTTAACCAAGATTTTTTAATTTAACTAAATTTAGTTTCTGAAAGCGTTCGAAAATAGTGCTGACGTCAGCACTTTTATTTTTCAAGACGGTGTAACTCAGGACGAATTACTCCTATTGGTTCAAAATTTTTGGGGAACACTCGTAATAATGATATAAACAGCTTATAAAACGTCTAGCATGGTAACTGAAACTCCTGGAAATTGGACGGAAACCTGTTTAATGTCTCAATCAATTCCATGGGTGCCCATCCCCCCCCCAGGGGTTTGTCGGGCATTTGTCATTTTGGCGAAAAAACGTTGCAAATGCCCCATTATGGGGTCCAAATAATGCAACAAAATCCCCACCCTTGGGGACTTACATTGACGCAAATGCCCCACACTTGAGGGACAAAATAAAGTTTTCTGAGGATTTCTGATCCAAAAAATCGAAATATATCTGTATTTATCGATTCTGTAGCCATTTCGTTTCAGAATGTTTTTAATTAAAATATTGAAGTCTCAAAACTTTATATAACAATATCAAAGTGCGGAAGTAAATCAATGTATCAACAGTATGGACAAGAAAAAAGTCTAAAGCGTGTATGTCCGCCATGATTAATTCGCAATACGCACGCACATGTAAACGTGCGTACTAAAATACGGCTAAATGGCGAAACAAGCGACAAGTATTCGACTTTTTAGCCTCCAGCAAATTCCCCACCTCGGGGCTAACCTGCAGAAAGCAAATGCCCGACCCTTGGGAACAAGTATAGTTGAGAATGCCCGACAAACGCCGGGGGGAGGGATGGGCAACCATGGAATTGATTGAGACATAAGGCCCATTAGTTCAGATCGTATCGTCCTGGTGCGAAGTGAATGACATGACGTCATTATTATATCACTCGCCTTTTTTATCTGATTGTCGACGAGAGAATTTCCTAGCTGTAGTGTTTAAAGCGGAAGTAGTTTGGACGGAAGTGTATAAGGCGTGGTGTTATTGAATGGCGTGGGGGATTGAGGAGGAGAGTTTTTGGAGAAATTGGTCGAAGTAACTGTTAATTAAATATATGTATTAAAAAGAGTTAAATTTAAAGATATAACACTAGCCAGTATCGTTCTAGTTGCCTGCCATTCCTTGTCGATCGTCGTTCCACGCACGACCGTAAAGTGTAGAAGCTGTCAGAGATTTTCCCCAAGGGTTGCATGAAGCGTTCTACCTCAACGTTGCCTTGTGGCCATTTGGGAGTAGAGAAGATTGCCTTTATTCCAAGGCCAGTTGGATAGCGTAACGCCATTGTCGCTTTTGAGAAGGGTATGACGCCGTCGAGTTTTGGGATCACAGTAGAGTTAATCTCGTGGATTGGACAATTTCGACCTCGGGAAATCGAGAATATCGAGCTACAACAACAAGAAGGTATTGTCGTGGGCGATGTCGATCGCGCCGTCTAAGTTTGAGGGATGACAATTCGAGTATCCACACAGTGTAATGCCGTTGGTGGTGACTGTTAATTCGTCTTCGATGTGTTTGAATGACGTCAGAATGTCTGTGGAACACTCGTTGTTTGTACGTGAACAAGTCACGAGCGTGAACAAAGTCTTATCTATTATATATATACAGGGTGTATAAAAAAAAACTGAACAGATTTAAAATTGCTCTCAATTTCGCAAAACAGCTATTTGTATCCGTTTTTTATATATATGGCCTCTTTGGGTACTTATAATGTAGAATAATGAGAACAATTTCTCGAACTCAAATTTTGTGAACCAGGGGGGGGGTGTCTTTTCCAACAAACTAAAAATGGCTCGCGCACAAAATTTAAAAGCTGCAATCATATTTTGAGTTAACAGGTGGAAAATGTGTCGGGATTTTAATTACTGTACAAAATTTCAGACAATTTGGTTTAGATTAAGCCCCCCTTAACTATTCACGCAAAGTTACAATTTTCCCGAAAAATATTTAATAAGCTATTTGCATGCTTAATTAATGCATTTGCCTAATTTGCATATGTCAGCAATATGCAAATTAGGTAAAGGCATTATTAATTAAGCATGCGAAAGGCTGACTTTTTAGAACAAAATGAATAGTTAAAGGGCTTAAACTAAACCAAATTGTCTGAAATTTTGTACAGTAATTAAATGCCCGACAAATGTTCAATTTATTAACTCAAAATATGATTACAGCTTTTAAATTTTGTGCGCGAGCCATTTTTAGTTTGTTGGGAAAGACACACCCCCCTGGTTCACAGAATTTGAGTTCGAGAAATTTTTTTCATTATTTTACATTATAAGTACCCAAAGAAGCTATATATATAAAAAACCAGATACAAATAGGTGTTTTGCGAAATTGAGAGCAATTTCAAATCTGTTCAGTTTTTTTTTTATACACCCTGTATATATATATATTTACGTGTGGTTCCACAAACAATAGTATTATATGTTTTATCGCCATGCAATCCTACAAAGAACTTATTACAGAACTCTATGGAGAGCGTATACATTCAGCGTTTAAAAGACTTGATACGTTTACCAATCAACGTTCTAGCGTCCTCTGCATGCATCGCCTTTAGATTATCGGGCAAAATTTGCTTGGCAGGCAAGAAAATTAATAGTGGCGATGCCTGCCAAAACCCCGAAGACTTTGGACCAGCTATGTAATCATTGTGGACCGACTATGTTACCCCCCATCCCCCCGGGATTAATTTGTTCATATCAAAACTACTAGAAAATACATGCATGCCGAAACCACGTACTCGCCTTGCTGACAAAACCATTGTATTTTCCGAACATGAAGTATTTAAACACGATAATTTATTGTAACACGATAATTTTGTTAAGAATATTTTTACAAATGAAAAATCCCTTAAAAATATCACTTTTAATTACAAAATTTTCAATTTCCCCAAACATATATATGTTAAGAATGGGTTAGGTTAAAATGCTGAAGCGAAACGGAATGGATGCGGAACGGAAAGAATGCGGTACGGAACGGATGGGGTTAAAATGCGGAACGGAATGGATATGGGGTTAAAATGCGGAAGGGAATGGTTTGGGGTTAAAATTCGGAACGGAACGGATATGGGGTTAAAATGCGGAACGGAACGCGGATATGGGATTAAAATGCGTCATTTCGCATCTTTTTTAACGTTTCTGTGTTTTCGACATGTGTTTTTTGCAATGGAATACAACGTCGTAGTGCTTATTATTCATAACATATCTGGTACAACTATTTCAATTAAAGTTGTGACTGAGTCAATAGTCAAATCTGTAAAAAGCTTTTAAAATTCACAAAAATGAAATATATTTATAAGAAATCATCATTCATCAATCATCAAATCAAGAAATGTTTGCTATTTCGCTGTCGTCATGCAGTCGTTATAATACAAACTTTAAATTTGACCAATCAATGTCCGCTATTCATGACAGTCCGCCATATTTTTGAGATCAGCGAGGATGACCACCTACCGAAACTTCGTTGGTGGCCCACGCCCACGATCAATGATGAACTTTAGACTTCGCTAATGCTTTCGTTTTCCCGGATGTAAATAGCCGGGCGGAATTAGTACCCTCGCCCGGGCTTACGCCCGGAACGACGCTCTGCGCCGTTGGCTCGGGGACTACAAAATGTCAAAAGCTGTGTTACCCCTACTCTCATAGGATACGATCTTTTTATATTCCGAGACACAATTCGAAAAAATATCGATCGAGAATTTCATTTTTATGTTGCAAATTGTTACAAATATGAATGAAACATTGATTATTTTGCACTTTAACAACGGATGGTCGGAATTTAACGAAATCCAGATGGTCAAACACGCCGAAACTATGTAAATCGTATATCGAGCGACGAAGTGTGAAATGTGAATGGAATATAAAAGAATTTTTGCAACCGTTCAAATTATATTTGGTCTGTATCCTACATGCATATAACATCAAATATTAATACTTTTGGGAAACAGAATACTCTACCAGGCACAAGAAGTGGTAAATGTTAAAATTTTAACTGGATAATGGATGCTCTTGCCTCTTGGAATTGTCGATTACTGTTATATAGTTTAGTACTTCAGTGGACGTTCATGACATTGAAACTGGTTTGTCTACACAATTTTGAGATATTTCAGCAAAGAACAAACTTCAAATTTACAATCCCATGTGTTTTTGCGCTCTATGTTACTCGTTAGAGAAAAATATCTCAGGGATTTGTTGAGTACATTTACAGCATGTAAACTATGTAAACGCTGAGTAAACTGCCTAGTGCTGACCGTGCTGTATAAACACAAATTTGCAAGCAACTATTGTGCAAGTTGACCAAATGTAAGAAGTGTTTACTCTATATTCAATAATTATAAATCAAGCAAAGTTTATATACAATTTATGACCATTTATATTGCTGCTGTATTATGTTAGATGTTACGCTCAAGATTATTCTACTGCATTACATACTGCATGGAATTAACCAGACTGCCATCCAGCTGACTAAAATTCTAGACAGCCATCTAAAAGTTTGGGTTGTCACTTGAAAATTGACAAAAAGCATGTCTTTACGCCACCAAAGGAGATTCACCTCCATGTAACTAATACAGGGATCGATCCAGCATGATCTGGTAGGCGGGGGGCGGGGCTACTCTGCCAGCTCTCGTGCAGAGTTGTGTCGGTTATGTGTGCCGCTTACCCATCAACGTACTGTATTTGAATTGTAATTGTTGTTCACAGTTTGCTTGTCACCATGTTATTGCTCAAATTACTGTATCTCATTACTGTATCTCTTATTTTTTGCTTTATCATGAAAAAAGCACCCACTGTACCCCCTCCTGCCAGGGCTAGGTGGATGCAACCCAGGGATGGAAAGAATATATTATTTTCTGGGACCGCAACGAAAAGTGGGGAAATATTCAGCAAGCTGTCGACACAAATCCCGTGCAATTTAAATTAATTAAAGGCTCAGTTGCAAAGTGGACAAATGAGATTTAAGAATTATAAAATAATCATAGTACCTTATAAAAGCTGTGGCAGTCCTAGAAGATTTTCTTTCATAAAGCAACTGAGGAAAGGATTTAATTGAAATAAACAAGTGAGGAATGACTGTGAATTTGTGAAAATTGGAAAGCGGTTTTTAAACTTTATTAAAATAGTTGCATCATAATTGGTAGTCTGAAAACAAATATGATTTGGAAGCTGGACCAAAGGTATTGTAAGTTCTATGTTTTTGTTGGGCTTTATGGAAATTTGTGCACTTTCACAGTGAGTGAACATTTTGGTCTGTATTACGAAAGTCACCGAACTGTGGAATCGCATCAAAAATTCGTATATCGACCACTCCCACAAACGTCTACGACCGCGCCTACATAGTTTTGCATGTTTACAATTCTAATTTTGAACAGCCAATCAGGTTCTTGGTAATTGGCTGTTTAAAATTAGAATTGTAAACATGCAAAACTATGTAGGCGCGGTCGTAGACGTTTGTGGGAGTGGTCGATATACGAATTTTTTATGCGATTCCACAGTTCGGTGACTTTCGTAATATAATGAAGCAATTGCCCAATGGAAACCTCAGACTTCAACCGTAAGATTTTAATATTGATCAACAAATTGTGTACTTTCAGGTACATTTCAAGTTTTCAACATCAATTGAAGTTTGGTTAGGAAACTACTTGAAGTTTACCAATCTTCCTAACGATGTTTATTTTCTATTAACTATAATTGCCTTTATTTGTGCTTTATATAATATAAACACTGGGGAAAAATAAATGTCTATCTTTTGTTTATTCGGCAAGAAAACCGAGTATGCAATGTCTGCCAGTCAGGAGAAGTTGAAACGGAACATCACTTCCTAACTTCCTGTGAAGCTTACAGTAGTCTTTGAGAAAACTCTTTAAATTACTTGGAATGCGATCCCACCAATGAAGCAGATCTAATGGACACAGTTTGCCAGTTGAGATAATGAAATCAACTGATAATGAAACTGTGATAAAATTATCGAAATTTCTCTCTTTCTGTTTTGAGAATAGATCTATATGCCTTGAAACCATGAATGCTGACAGTGAATAGGATGTTTAACTAACCCAAACTTCTTCAATTATACGCTGTAAATAGGGTACTCTCATTTGTAAAGTAAGTCTTCCTTTATATCAATAACTTCATTTGTATTTCTTGTATTACTCGATACGGACAGTATGTCATACTACCACAAAACATTTTGCATTTGTAAATATTTATTCCAATTAACTAATAAGCAATACTTCTATGTAAAGACATGCTAATAAGGTAATTTGTTACTATTACTACTTCCTATAGAAATAAAAAATAGCAATCGAAATTAAGGAGGGAGGGGAACGATACAGATAGCAAATTTTGGAACCAGGGCAGTGGTACGATACAAAGGCAACAAAAGGCCAAAGGGAGTAGATCAAAGTTCGACTTTCAGAAATCGTTTTGGGGGCACCCTCTACACCTATTGTCTGTCCCCGAACAAAATGGCTACTTATTGGTGCAGTTACTCTCTCTTTCTTTCTATTCTTTTTCTGCCCTTCCTTTTTCTTTCTTTCCTTTTCCCTCTTTTCTTTCTTTCCCTTCTTTTCTTTCTTTCCCTTCTTTTCTTTCTTTCCACCTTTTTCTTCCTTCCCTTTTTTCTTTCTGCCAGCATAAAATATTTTCTGGGACCATTGGTCCCATGGTCCGCTATATTTTCCACCCCTGGACTGCAACCCCCTTGTAAATCTGAAACTTGCAATGCAATTTCTGATAAAAGGCGATGTGTTTTAAAAATAAGTCACAGGGAAATTGCGAGCATAGTCCACAGTTTACTTATATTTTTTTCACTTCTTTCATTTTTCATCCATTAAAAGCATGTTATATTGTAAAGAAAGTGTCAGCAGAACAGAATGCTGGCCATGTTCAATTATATCACTATTTTATATGGCAGGTTTTGACAAGCTTGATCATTGTTGTCATTGACAATGGTTGCTTGTCCATGTGTTGTAGCCTTGAAGCTGCTAACTGTAAATGTAAACCTTGCTGTCCACATTTTCTAGGATGCACCACCTTAGTCTCCATCTCAGACATGCAAAATAGCACCTTGTTTCTTGCATGGAAACCCTGACAATTCAATTACTAATACTTCATGTTAAATCAATGTTTGGGAAATATAGGCGAGGGGTTGCAGGCATGCATATATTTCTAATTATTCAATCGACAGACTTTTGTGTTATCTCGTTGTATGATGTACTAAAAATGAATATTTCAAAATAAAATCCAGAAATTCCCATGAAATTCCTTTTAAAAACTTCATACCCTTAAAAAATCCTTAAAAAGTTCAAAGTTTCCTCAGTTGAAGGAAATTTGGCTCCTTATTTGCCATTCGGTGCATTTCCGCTCTAAGCGAGCATAATGCCAATTGTTCCTAGTGTTCCCGCTTGAAACCGTATATATCATATTAATAATTAATATATCTGTAAATGTTTATTGTTATTTTAATAACAACATTTTTTGTTTATCAATATTTGTTTATTTTTTGTCTTTTCTCATTGGATGTTTTTGGTCTATGCCGCTTGTTAGGCAACGGTATTTACTTGCTCAAATAGTTATCACGACTCATAGCTTACATACCATAATGACAGAATTTGAAAGAGCATAACGAAAGTGTCAAAGAAGAAAATACCATTTCCGACGATCTGGAGACTAAAAATTTCGAGTCGGCCCCCCTAATTTTTACAAGCTTTCTACGCCCTTGGTTCAAGCTTTTTTAATAGACTTGTATGTCACAACTGACTTAATTAAGTTAAAAATACCCCATTCATTTTTAACTAAACCCAACATTGTTTTTAAACCACGTAAACAACAAAATACTTAATCTATATAAAACCTATAAACACAAACATGGATATTCTCTCATGAAAAAAGTATTCTTTTTGTCTATATATAATACACCCCTCCCATCGTATTAAAAGTCAGGTGGCAATAGGAGACTTGCCAACAGATGCTATTGCATCATTTGGCTTTCGTTCATTGATAACAGCCTGAGGATGAGGTCATATGATAACTTTTAACACCAGCCCATTTTTTATGAAGAGGCCTGGTAACCAAAGGTATATGTGACCACATAAATATAGTTTTAAAACAGATATAAAATACAACAAAAATTCAAATCTCATGTTTCCTGCCTGTCCTCCCTCTTTACCCACTTCCAAACCAGGTACCTTCTAAGCACCCTTTATAAGTTAACATTATATTAAAAGCATTGGAAAGTCAGTTAATATTTAATAGCAACCTTCATCAGTTTCATATTCACACTTGGTCATGGATAGCGACTTCAATTTCGTCCACTTCTTGCATCAGATGAATTTGAATTGAATTGAATTTTATTTGCCCATATGAAAAAGTTAATATTTACAATCTAAAGTATACAATAAAATATGACGGGCTAGGAGCCTTCATGAAACCCTTTCAGGCTTTTTGTTCAAAGGTCCCTAGTTCTATAATATTTTTACAATTGTTTTATATGGTAAGTTAATCATATAATGTCGAAAGAATATAGGAATATTTACAAATACAAGTATAAAGTAAGGAAAATTTTAAAGTAAAAGTAATATAATGAGCTAATTGAACAAAGTTTACAGATAATAACAATTAAAGTATATTTTACAAGAAAAATAATTTTGACTTTTTCTTAAAAGTACAATAAAATGTAATACTGCTAATTTCATTATCGAGTGAATTCCATATCTTAACTCCCTTGTTAACAATAGAATGTTTTGCATAATTTGTTCTACTAAAATTTACATGAAATTTGTTAGCATTTCGAGTATTGTAATGATGTACTTCATTGTTCTGTGCGAAGTAGCCATTAAAATATTCAGGTAAGTTTTGTAGACGTTTAAACCGGTACATAAATAAACAACTTAAAAAGTCATTGATCTTAAAGATATTCAAGATCTTTAAGAGTGACTGTCCGTAAAAATCAAGCAAAATTCAAAATTCATGGCAAACTTTGAAGAATTCCATTTCTCTCATACTTTCAAGTCTGGAAGGGTAATGTTTCCTAAGAACAACTGTATAGTTGGTTTGGTTAAATATCATTGTATTAATTCTGAAGAAATATGCAAATTATCGAACACCGCCGAAAATGCCGTTCGGACGGGTGATTTTTAGCCCCTCTTTGGTGGGCTTCTATGGACAATTAGAGCACCCCACATCAAATATAATTCCTAATCCTAGTTAAATAATCACTTGACTATCATTTTGGCAAGTTTGGGGACAATCACGCGATTTTATACTTTCCAAACAATTTTATTCTCGAAGCCCATATTTTGTATCGATAAAAATGGGTCTTATAAAAAGTCTTATAGAGAATGTGCTCTATCTTTAAATAATTCGAAACTCCGGCCGGCGAATGAATGTTGAAATAAAGGTCTTTCATCTGATAGAAAGGAATCTTTGGGCAAATGTTTGTGTGTGACGTTTCAGGCTATCAAACTGTGGTGAAATTGTACTCCTGCGACCTTTCAGGTCAAAAGACACTAGGACGAAATACCGTTTATTTTGATTTATAAGTCGATGAAACGGTTTGAAAAAAGTATAGAAAGTATTAATAATGTAAATTGTGTGCAATCCATACCTGTTTTGATGTAAAAATTGCGTTTTATGATCTTCTCGGCTTGGTTTTATAGATGTAGTCCCCGAGGGCATGTTAACCATGTTTACAAGTTTTAAATTTCAACACAATCGCCACAGGAAGCCCATGATGATCGACATAGATTTTTTAAAAATAAATGGCCGCTGTTTCCTTGCATATACTATTTTTTTGCTTTTATTTAGAACTTTTTCATAGATTTTAAGGGCATGTAATTGATTGACTTTCTACATGTATTTTGGCCCTCCCAACGACGCGCATGGGTATCAGTTCAATAGTCTAACTTAAATGGAGGTTTGCTGTTCATTCAAGTCATTAGTAGGAGGAATCTGTGGTTCTGACAGTCGAGATAGAAAACACGAAGTGCAAGTTGTTCCTCTGACATCATGTACAAAAGATATTGCGAACCATCTAGCATCCTTCTCTTTTTTTGGTCCACAAAACGAGATAGACCTGATATTGTGTCGAGCGGCAATTTTTAAAATGCCAAACTCTTTTGACAACATGACAATATGTCCACAGCATCGTGCAAAACTTGGATTGGGATGGACAAGGGGATCAACTAGATGTAGAATACCAGCTGCGTTATCTAACCACGGGAAAGGAAGTAGAAAAATATGGCCAAAGGGAGACAGGGGACTTGGGAAACAAGATTCTGAAACACTACTACAAAAGACTGGTGTGTTTATTCAAGCTGGTTCCGGTAATTGTTTGTATTATTATTGTTTGTATTAGTTGGGTGCGTCAGTTCATTCATTTCATGTGCATATGTTTTGTTTACTTTACTTTACTAGGAATATGCAGGACATGCCGAGATAAAATGAAGACGATTAGACCAACTATTCCCACCACAGCACTTGCGAAGTTGGAAGCACAACTAAAGACAGCAACATTACAGGTAGTATATAGGTTATGGTGTTAAAACCTAATGAGGTTTTTCCTTCGCCATGGAAAGCAAATTAAATCAAACACTGTGGCACATTGCCAATTAAAGGGTTGAAAGGAATGCAGCATTGGCAGACTGCTTGGTTAGCCCATTGAGGGACACTCACTAGCCTCTCCCCTGGAAGAGTAAATTGTCTGGTGATAGAGAGAATAAAATAATATTAGATGTAGGGCATATCAGGGGGCATGGTCACTTACATGATTAAAATTAATTTGTAGGATGACTCTCCTGAAAATCCATTCAAAGCCCTGCAGCATCAACATATCCCAGTTACCCCAATGAGCACTGTGCCGTCAACGCTATTTTCACCTTCTGCTATATCCCAAGCCTTCGACCTGTCAATGACCAGCGAATATGATGAGAAACCATCTACATCTACTCCAAAGGGTAAGCTAAACTGCTCTCTTGCTGCAAGAGATGTAAGTCCAATTCGAACCTCAATGATGACACCATGGGAAGAAGCTGCAGGACGAACCAAGAGGCACTATTTACGGAAAGCCAGACAGGTTGTCTTCGCTACCCTTGAAGAAATTGCACCCAATAATTCTGAGATGCTGTTCAGAGCAATAAAAGAAAGGCAACTAGATGAAAATGATGACACGGATTGCATGCTGTTAGAAGCTTTAACAGCATGCTACGAGAATGCCAGCCATTGGAGCAGTCGCAGACAAATTCTCTCCATCTTTGCCGATAAGGTCAGCTTCAAAACTGTTCAACAATGAATTCCAGATATAACTCGCTATCGATATAGCATTGCAAGACACCACCTGTTGCTACATGGCAGAGGCGCTGACATTTCTCCCCAGAAACACGTCAGAATTAAAGTACCTCCAGAGAAGCTCGACCACTTTTTGGCTTTCATTACCAGTGCAAGGGTAATACAAGATTTGCCCTTTGGGGAGAAAACCTTAAAGCTCTCTACCACTGAAATAAAGATCCCAAACGTCATAAGAAACTCCATACCAGAACAGATAATTCAGCAGTATCAGAGCTACTGTGCGGAGACCGGATTTAGTTCCCCTTTGAGCAGTAGTAGCCTTTGCAGGATACTAGACGTTTGTTCTGCATCTACCCGCACCTCGCTTCAAGGCCTCGACTACTTCTCAGCAGAAGGTGGCAAAGCATTTGATGACATGGTTACAGTCGTAGATAAGCTAGGTGACGTCTATGAACTTGGTCTGACATGGTCCAAGGAGCAGATTAGAAAGCTGAAACTGGCAAAGCGTTACTTTAAAAGTGATTACAAGGTCAGTGACCTTTTAAAGAATTTTTTATTAGACGAAATGCCTTGAGAAAATGATTACATGTTTTGTTTCGTTCCTTTTCTTTTCTTTTCTTTCTCCCAATCAAGTTAATGAAAAATGAACTTAGATGTCCTTAACAATGGGCGCCGCGTCCTAGCGCTTTCATCAAAATGCCGTAGTTTATGTACGATGAATTGTTATAGCTGATACATTAATTATGTGATGTTTGTGTTTTTTTCAGAGGTTCATGTGTCATCAACTTCAAGGGTCCCTGATCATTGTAGACCTTATGCCCTCAGTCTTGCTAACGATTCCAATTTTACCACCACGTGTAATCATCAGCACGATCTAGTTTGTGATAGGTGCAACCTGTTTCCTGCTGTTGTCCAAGAATTAGAGTTACAGGTGGAAAAGGCTAGGATTCCTCACGAAGACAAAGAAGAAATGAAGTTTGTGGTGGCGCAGTCAAAGAAGAACATAGAAGCCTGGAAAGCACACATATTACGCTTCATCAATCAAGATGAGGCCCGCCTTGACATCCTGAAAGCAGTAGATGACAGCTCTGTATTGGTGGTGCTAGATTGGGCAATGAAGTTCATCCCAAGAAAGTACAGAGAGAGCCAGGCGGACTGGTTTGGTAAGAGAGGCCTCTCCTGGCACATTAGTGTGGCAATGAAAAAGCCTCCTGGAAAAACCTTGCAGACGCTGACTCTTGTCCACGTGTTTCAGAAAAGTAACCAAGACAGCCTGTATGTGTTGGCCGTCATCGATGATGTAATCGAAAAGCTAAAGACTGCAATAC